TTTAGGTTTCGGTACGATATCTCAAATTCTATGCATAACAAAATTCAAATTGTTTTTGAGAGAAACACATTACTTAGACGCAGCTAATGAATGCATCAAAAATGCGTTTGCTGAATCAAAATGATATACTCAAGAATCACATAAAAGTGATTGCTCAAAAGATGAAGGCTCTGAAGAATCATGAAATAAGATATAGGAAGATATAGGTAAACTGATTACAGAAGCTTTTAAATATTTTTTTATTAAAATGCAGCAGAATGAGAGTAAGAAAATTATTACAACCATCACAATGATTTTTAAATTTCTAATAGTTCAAAATTAAGATTTTAAGAGTATTTGAGCTTAAAATCTCTAAACGCATAAAATCATCAAAAACACGAACACAACTTAAAAAGCTTCACAAATAATCAAATTCATTTTGACAAATTTTATAAAATCATTCAGATTTTATTTACGTTTCAAAAATATATATATTTTTTGATTGTTGTAAAAATTAATGTGCAGTAAATCATAAAGTATGATTAACAAAAAGCAAAGTGCCCAAAGCGAGCATTATGATCAAATTAAAATTTTCCGTACCATTTGAAATGATGAAATAACGAATAAGAACCTTAACATTGTGAAAATCATAAAAATGTCATGAAAATGTCACTGATTTTTTTTTCTCGGTCATAAATTGACACATGAATGGAATACAAAAAAAAATCGAGATTAGAAATTAATTCATTTTTATTTGCTATATGAACCGAGAATTTTTCGAACTTTCTTCTAATATTATTGTTATGTTTGTTTGAATGAGAAAAAGCTCTTGCTTTGTAAATATTTTGGGACATAAATCATCTTATGTTTGAAACTGAAACTGGATTGCTATTGTTTCTAATCTTTTGTCAGTAATGATAAGGGACCGGTTTGTTTTTTTTTTGCCTTTTTATAGAAAGCTCTTGATATTTCATACTTTTTTTGTAATTCATTATTTTGTCACAGTGACATTATCCTGAAAATGAAATTAAATATAGTGCATGCTTATGTACAAAAAAATGGAATAAAATGAATTAAAAATGTATTTAATTTAAATTTTGAATTTGTAGTTAATTTAAAATGAAAATTAAATTTCATATTTAATTTATATCCAAATGTTGACACATATGAATCCTTCAACAATGTGATGGAAACGAAGTAAATTTTTCATTCACAAACATTAATTTTTAAGAATAAAATAAATTGTTCTAAAGTTATAACAAATTTTTTAAATTTAATGTCATTTAGTACATAATGAATAATAAAAAATCATAAATTTTGTTGAATATTTTACTCGAATAAGCACTAGAGAATTTCCAACAGTTTCAGTCGAATCTCATTTAATTTCACCAATGCTGCGGTGAAAAACATTTGTTGATGAATCATATTGTGTAAGTCACATGGGAAAGAAATGAAAAAGAAAAAAATTAATTTGCCTTCATTTCTTTACGTTTTGTAAAAAAAAATCGCTTCAAATTCAGTTATTCATATTTTCAACGATTCACTGTTGAAAAATACACATGTGTGATAAATTATTCAAGTACGAAAATAAACTTTTTATACTCATTTTCCTTCCATAATTTATGCGATTTTTGGGAATGAATTTTTGAGTATGCGAGGGAAGGAATTTCATTACAAATTATTATTATTTTTTGAAGAACATCCGTTTTTTATGGCATTATACAAGAATATAAAGTTTGTGAAGAAAGAAAAAAGTGAGTAAAAGTATTTGGTAGTATGTGCATATAATATCATGAAAAGAAATTGAAAAATGCTGAAAACTTTTCAAACTTTTTAAACAATAAATGAAAATGAAAGCAGCGGCGTTTACAGTGTAATTCATTTTTTTTTTTCTTTACAGCTCAAACATTGATGAAAATGAAGCTTTTGTAATCTTTAATCCATTAAAAATCTTTGGATAATGATGTAAATCATTTTATTTCTTGCCTTATTTTAACATTAAAAGATGTGTAAAGCCTTAAGGATCAAATATTTTGAGATGACAAAGAAAAGGTAGATCAACTTATTAGTAAGCTTTATATAAAATTTCTGCTAGCAGTTACTAATTTTTGCAATGGAAATAATAATAATTTATTGAGTATGAAGGATTATATAGTAAGCATAAATGTATTTATAAGATGAATTATATTTAAAAGTGTTTATCCAACATAAAAAAAGGAAAATAGCAATTCGTGTAGAGTTTCTAAATGTTCGAGATTTTGGTGTAAAAAAATATGTGCTTTATAAATAAATATATTACTATTTAAATAGAAAAGTGTAGCCAGAATTTTGGAGAATAAGTAGGAATTTTAAATTCCACAACTTTAAATTAACATTTTTGTTTATTATTAGCATTTTCGATCTCAAGGCAGAACCCCTCCTCCGAATGGACACAAAAACAATTTTTTTTTTGATGACTGAGTATTCTTAAAATAATAACAAAAGCTCTTTCATATGTGTTGACATAAAAAGACTCAAATTGTATATGCTATAACGAAATTCCTTTAAAAAAAACATGTAAATATATTTGGTGGTATTTGTAAAGAGGCTTTGTAAATGTTATTTCTAAAGCAAGCATAAATTATACGATTCGCATAATAAATAATTTATTTATGGTTCATTTTTCTCTATTGTGCGTGCCACCAATTCGAATGTAAATTATACAAATTTTCGCCACATTTCCACTTCACGAACATTATAGCTTTTTTTCCTTTTCTTCTTTTTTTCCTTTTTTATACACTTTTTGATACGCAAGGCAAGCATGAGCAATAATGAATGAATGAGCTACCAAGAGTCACATATATAAATAGATTATTTTTGCTGAAAATGAATAAAACTATCCCTAACATATCGCATATCATACCAGTTGTGAAAACTATTCAATAATTCACTGAGTATTCAGACTCAGTGGCGACCCGAAATCTTCTTTCGTATTTTCTTCTCTCCTTTTCATTTTCTTTACTCTCTAATGTTTCAACACAAAAGCTTTACTTTAACATGGATAAAAATATTTGCGATAGCAGTAGAATAAATTTTTGTGCTCTAATGTTCACGTTTACTTTCAATTTATTTTATAAATCCGAGGTTTTTAAACTTATTGACAAAAACTCTTTGTTTTCCCCATTTTTTTTTTTTGCTTTAGAAATTTCCTCACACATTTCATCAAAGAGATAAATAAATTTTCACTAAAGCAACTGTTATGTTTCAAATCATAAAATTGACTCCCAAGTGTAAAAGCTTCAATGTTTTCCTTTTTTCAATGCCTTGTCATGAAAACAGAAACAGAGATTTTTGTGTTTTGTTCACAACGGAGACTATCAGACGAGATAATAATTTATGGCATCCTTACATAAACTTCAAAGCAGGGATTCTTGAAAACAGGTTTTTAAGTTATTTTGATGTAATAATTTAATTTGTTCTTAAGCAATTCACAGTGTTTTCTTGCGATTGATCTGAGAAGTTAATAGTTATTAACTGCTTTGTCACTCATCTTTTAAAAAATTCTCATTTTAAATTAATTTAAAAAAAAAATTTGCATGCTACTTTTGACACGGATAAAGAATAAAAATGTGAGATAAACGTTTGAGGTTTATAATCATCGATTTAAGAAAATTTAATTAACGAGGGTTTCGCTAGAATTAAAGGGTTAGGATTGTGTCAAGAAATTTATCGGATAAAATAAATTAAAAGCTAAGGTTCGCTATTAAAATGGAAAAAAGATAGGAGATAAATCTGGCGCATTTACAAAATATAGGAATAAAATGTTAGAAGGGCAGGAGGAGCTGTCTCAAGTAACTCACGCAAAAACAACGAAACGAGAGCAAAAATCTGATAAAGGTTCACTGTTATTTCTTGCTGAATTTCTCTGCTCTCCATTTTTTCACGCAGATATTGATTTCATCATAAAGTTTTTCTTCCTTTTTACTCTACATTTGGTAAAGATTTGTTACGATGTTGATATGATTGTGTTTCCAAAATTCCAAATGCATTTAAAGTTACCAAAAAACTTATTTTTATAAATCTACTCTTTTCAATAATATTCATTCCTAGTAATAGCTTTTCTAATTCTAATTATTATTGAACAGCTTTACTCAAAGCATACATTGTTTTTAAGGCTTTAATTGTTCTAATTACTCATTAAGTATAAGCACACCTTAGTATAAATATGCTTACCAAATTTAAATGAAGAAAAAATTTGACTTTTTCAGTTTTTAAAACAAATAATATGATTATAAATGCTTAGCATAGAATAATGTTTGCCACAAGCAAAAATTTTCAATTAATATCACATGCTGCTATTTTTCATATTTCCAGTATGCGAAAGAAGTATTATAGTTTTCATATTTTGCTTTAAATTACCTCAAAAAGCATCATCATTAAGTGAAGAGAAGGAAGGTTTCTTTTTTTTTTAATTTCTACACCTGCTTTTGTAGTTTATTTAGCCTTCTTCCCCCGTTGGTTTAGGTAAGCAGTGGCGTTTTCCTTGCAAAAAGATAAAGTTTTACTCGTAAAGTTTATGTTTTTACCATTTTAAGTGTTTTGAAGTTTCTCATACTCGAAAAATTAATGTATAATATTTTATATAGCATAAAAGCATAATAATGAAGTTTCAAAAAGTACAATATACTAAAATTGGTCTACTTTTAATGAATATAATTCTCATAAATATTTTCACAAGACAATGAATAATGTTTGTTTGCTGAGTTTTACAGTTTATCGAAGTTTTAATTTGTTGTACTTACGCTGAGAATACATATGTACACATGTATGCATGTGTGGCATGTGAATCAATGCTGTGAATGTATTGTATTTATAATCTTTTATCGCTAATTCTACTATTTTAAGATTTTTATTTGCTGACACACACCAGTGATGTATAACTAATAAGCTACTGATAACTTAGCGACATTTAAAGTATCAACAACTTTTAAATATTCACTCAGTTGCGTTTAAAACTTTGTGAGTGATTGAATTTTCGTAAAATGACTAATGATGTTATTGCTGAAACAGAATATGGAAAAGTTGAAGGAGTAAAAACAGATTCAGTACTTAATGAGCCATACATAAAATTTCTTGGAATTCCGTACGCTAAAGCACCTCTTGGAAAACTTCGTTTTAAGGTAAAAAGCGCTCTTATCACGCTCCTTTAGCTTATCTTGGAAATAAAAAAATAAATAATGATAAAATTGATATTTGTTTCAATAGAACCCACAAAAACCTTCTCCATGGAAAGAAGTACGTTTAGCTACTGAAGAACAGTCAAGTTGCTTTTCTATTGATACTTTGACAAAAACTTTGGTGGGATCTGAAGATTGTTTATATTTAAATATTTTCACCAAAAACTTATATCCAAAGAAACTTTATCCAGTATTAGTTTACTTTCATGGTGGCGCTTATAAAGGTGGTTCTTCAAAATTTGACATTTATGGTCCTGATTATTTACTGATGGCCGACGTTGTTGTGGTAACATTCAATTATCGAGTTGGACCATTAGGGTTTTTATATCTGAATGACCAAAATTTGAATGTACCTGGAAATGCAGGATTGCAAGATCAATTGATGGTTTTAAAGTTTGTAAATGAAAATATAGAAAATTTTGGAGGCGATCCTAACAATATTACAGCAATCGGTCATAGTGCAGGTGGAAGCTCTATTAGCTGGCACTGTTTGTCAGATATATCGAAAAATATGTTTCATAGAGCAGTAATCATGAGTGGTTGTGCTCTAAATACATGGTCCATTACTCCCAAGCGTGATTGGGCTGTGCGTTTAGCAAAAGCTTTGGGTTATGATGGTGACGATAGTGAAGAGGGTATTATACTAGAGTTTTTACAGAATGCTAATCCTGTCAAAATGATTGAGGTACAAAATAAGTTGATAAGACCAGAAGAATTTGGGAAAATTGCTTTTCCTTTTGCACCGCATATTGAACCTTACGTAACAACTAGCACATTTATCTCAAAGCATCCTATCGATTTAATAAAAATGGCATGGAGTAATGAAATTGATATTCTCATTGGCGGAACATCTGATGAAGGCTTAATGTATTTAGAAATCATACGAGAAATGCCAAAATTACTTGCGTCATTAAAGTTGAAAAATATGGTGCCTGTAGATGTAACAGAATTATCTGACGATGACCCTATACGATTACGCTTTGCTGAAAAATTACAACAGACCTACTATTCATCATCAAGTAGAGATTCAGCAAAATATGAATTGGCCTTTTGTAAGGTTAATAAAAAACAAAGATAAACTTTTTTTTTTCATTCCTTTTTATAATACATTCATCTTCTTGTTCTATGTTTTCATTCTTATATCGATTAAAGGAATTTTTTTTATTTCATCCTTTCCAAACAGTTGCAGACTGATAAAGCGTTTTGGCATGGATTGCAACGAATAATTCAAGGTCGTCAAAATTCTAACGGCAATGGAATAACATTTCTCTACAGATTTGCGATTGATTCACCGACTCAGAATCATTATAAAATAAACCCGAGCGGCACAAGGTGGCAGGTGTCAGTCATATGACTGTTATATGATCGTTTTGAAATGGCAGATAACAGTTATATGACGGTTATTTGGTAGCAATTATATGACAATTTTGTAAAACTGTTATATGACTGCCATGTGACTGCCATGATAAAAAAGTTGATCACAGTTATCAATGTTTTTTGAAAAATTATGAAAAAATTCATTTTAAATCGTGACTTTGAAGTGAAAAGTTCATTTTGTTTTGACCTTTGAAATTCATATCGCTGAGGACTTAATAAGTAGGATGGACTTTAGTAGAAGGTGAGCAAAAGATTTAAAAATTGTTTATATATTATTTTATAGCATTCAAAAATATTATACAGGAACGAATCTTTTTCAAGATATAATCAATTGAAGTGCTCCAGGAACTTTTGATGAATTAAGAGCAGCATCAAATGCTTTACAAACAGGAATCTGCAACGCACGATGGGGCAGAAAAAGCCGAAAAAGTTTATTTAATTTATTTTTTTTCTTCATATTGATTATTTTTGTTTTTTTACATTGTTTTTCCTATACGAGTTCTTTAATAAACACAAACTTTAAACCCCTTAATATTTTTGAAATTTTTTATATTCATATTTCAGCCTTAAATTGCCATATTATTGATTTAAAATTGCCATAAAATTGTCATCTCATTGCCATATAATTGCCATTTAACTGAAATTTGATTAAAGAACTGCCACCTGTGCCTGTCATAAAACTGCCTAGAAACTGTCATATAACAGTTTCCGTTTTGTGTCAATTTTTATTGATGGCAGTCATATGGCAGTCATATGGATTACTTTATCATACTATTTGGTTGACATATCGTCAACATCGATAGCAATTATCTGTCATATGGCTGCCATAAAGCAGTTTTTATTGCCATCAAACGATGGCAATTGACACGTGGCAGCTGACATATGGCAGTCATATGACAGTTATATGACACCTTTGTGCCGCTCGGGAAATCGTTATGGCCCTGATGTTAGAGGAGTCTGTCATGGAGATGAACTTTCATATTTGTTTAAAAATAAATACGGTGATGTTCCACATCGATCAACAATTGAATTTAAATCTATAGAGAGATTTGTAAGGTTTCTAAATTAACCTTTAAATATCTACAGTGAGAATAAAACAATTATTTTTCGTATTCACAACAAAGGTTTCCTTGATAACATCATTTGCTGTGACTGGTGATGTAAATTCTAACATTATTAATGCTGACCTGGAAGGTGTTAGATGGGAAGCAGTGGATTGTTCCGCGCCACCATTTAAATGTTTGAACATTGATGAATACTTAACATTTGAAGAATTACCGGAATCAAGTAGATTGGCTGTTTGGGATGAACTGTATAAAGAATCAAGCTCAAGACTGTTTTAATTAATATTCATATTTATATTTACATTTTTGGTTCTTCTATTGATTATTTACATAAAAGGGGATATTAAGTTTTGTAGGATTTGCACTTGTTAAAAACATGTACCTAAATTTATTGACTTATGCACATAAATAAATTATTCATATCAAGTATTTTTTTCATCAGTATGTAGCTTTATTTGAGGTCCAAAAAAAAATGTAATAAGCCAATATGTTAGCATCAATTCAACAACTCATTTAGTATCGTAGTTTAAAGCAATAACATGCAACAAAAAATGACATTCTATGGTATATCATGTGATAGATAAAAATGGATCCAAAAAAATTTATATTTTTTTTTATAAAAAAATTGACTTCTTTCTCTTGTTTGTATCATGAAATTGCTATGAGGCAGATGTGTATGTTACATATGATAAATATTGGGTAGAAAATACTAGAAGTGTTCAATTGATTTTTAGGCAGAATTTTTTTGAATGGCACATCTTGAAACACCCAACATTTCATCTTTTTTAAGATGAGGGTCTATAACGTTTCAATACATGATAAGCAACGGAAATTTTTTATGAAAAAATCAGGGGGAAAACTATTTGGATGGTAAAAATTTCGATTGGAAATTTACCATTTTTTTCACTTTTTTGTGGAAAATTTCTCTTTTATTTTACCCATCAAGCAGTTATCCCCCTGGAAAAATTCAACAGCATTTCATATAATAAATTTTACCTATCAAGCAATTATCCCCCTGGAAAAAATTCAACAGCATTTCATATAATAAATTGATGCTCCTAAATTTGAATTTCTCGCACATGCTTTTACTTTAAGTCTTGTATGGTGGAAGCATAAAAAATCGATCCACATTAAAACAAATGAATATTGTGCAATATCCTTGGTAATGGAGACGTTACCAATGAATTTTGCTTGTCTGTACATATAGATATCATTTTCGATATACCTAATTCAAATTCCCACTTTCTAAGAAATATTGTGAGAAAATAAAATTAAAGTGCTATAACAAAGTACATTAAAGAAAAATGTCGCAATTTGTCTAACGTTTGTTAAAGATAAATTACGCATTATCATGAGTTGATCAATGTGAGATGAATTGGCTTTTTGTGTAGCAATATTTTTTCTCGCTTCTTTTTCAAAGCAATTGAATTATGGCAATGAACATAAATAATATAATGGATAATTTTTCTCCATGACAGATGAAAATAAGATATAAAGTACATGTGTAGGATCAATGGTATGATGTGCAGTGATTCGTTCAAGGTTTCGACATATGAAATTCATGCTGAATGAAAAGGATTGAACCTTTAGCATGTAAATTCAGAATTATATAAGTGGTAACCATATTGCGTGAGTTCTCATTCATGAATCAAGCAACTGATGAATTCCACCACATGAATGTAAATTTTATCAATTTATTTCAAGTAATATTGCTTAGAATAAATGTTTCCCTTTTGTTAGTCAATTGAATTGAAAGGCAATTGAAGGAAACGGTAGAAGAAGAAGTGTAATTTAACGTTGATGAGGCATAAATTTTACATAAATCTTATCGCTTTGCACTGTTGGTATCTACTGCTACTGCTATGCCTACATCGTTTTCCACAGTGGGAAATCTCGAAATACTTTATACTATCTATGCAACACGGATATACGAAGAATAAAAATGTCGAAGTGGAAGCCTGCAGAGATCGTCTATTTGAAGTCTCATGAGCCATCTCCAAGAGATTGTAAATAGCTAATGCGTGTGAATGAAAAAAATCACTTTGTAAATTTTTCGGGTTCACAGTGGTGATATTCTTTTTAGCTTTTCGGAGACAAACGAGGGAATTAACGAATGAAAAAAAAACGTATGTGTGCTATATAAGAGCAACCCTTAATCATATATAAAAAAATATTTATTTGTAAAGGATGTGTAAATAAGAGTTATGGATGAATGAGAACAGCTCTTTTACAAAATGGTAAAATTCGGATTATGTTAATTCATTATATCATGCATAATAAAAGAGACACATGAAAGAGATCTGATTGAAATGGATTAAGGATTGATGTAAATGTATAACAATTAATAATTTTAATCACTTTTGGTAAAGATGCAAGGTTTTATTTGCCTAAAACAAATTTTTCTATGAACTCAAAAAAGATTAACATTACCACATTTTTGCAAATTTAAGTGCTTTTAAATTTCATTCATGTATGTCTGTTTGGTTTTACCTACACATATTAAATCGAAGTGCAATTTTATTACTTTTCAGTCTATGTTATTTTAGCTGATATTTCAGAATTTTCAATCTGCTGAATTTTTTGTTGAATATTATGCGCAACATTTCCTCAATAGCTAGACATTCAATAAAAAATGATTTGGCAGTTTCCGCTTTCTTTAACACATCTTTCCACTTCACCCTTGTCTCATGCTGCTTTTCAATTGACATAATTTTTAAAAATAATAAAACAGTTCAACAGAATGAACCAGATTTATTTTTCTATAATATTGATTTTTGCCAGCGGTTTTATTTTTAATTAATTTTTATGATCGCATTGTTAATGAGCTTTTATTGCCATAGCAAGATATTAAATTTCAATAACAATCTCTGTGGGAAAACAGAATGATTTCTCGTCGACTTTTTGTTTTATCTTTATTTCTTCCTCCTTCTTTTCCGAATACTTGTCAATTTGTTATGGAATCTTCTTTAGTACTACATATTAATTTTGATTAAAAAAAATAAAGATTAATTTTTCATTCTTCTGTCAAGATTTCTATAGTTTCTATATTTCAACACAATAGAAATAAAGCATCAACCAGCAGAACATGACAGATAGTATATGTTAATACATCTTAATAGGATTTGTCATAGCCGTAGTTTCATTTGTGCAAACAAAATTGAAATGTTGACACATAACTTGTTTCCGAATAATAGAGCGAGATGGAGGAGGAAACTGCTCGTAGCATTAACATATTATCAGGAATGAGCGGATACATACGAAGAGAGTGAGAAAATGTGTTTCGTGCTTTATAAAAATGATGACAGATTTACATTTTAATTTGTCAAATGATAAAAAATCATGTCAAAATATTTATGTTAAAATGTATCTTATACATGTTTTTTTGTTATTTCATTTTACAAAAACAAATAGTTGGAAAGCAGGTTTTAATACTTATTCTAAATTAATTTACATTTAATACATTTAACAAAACTGCAAATATTATTAAATATTGATTTAAACTTTTGCAATTAATTATATAATTGTCTTGGCTCAAATTTGGTATGGTAACTCGAAGGTCGTCGGTTCGAATCCAGCCATTTCCAAATTTGTTCTTTTTCAGAAGTTTAGATACTTCGACTGCTTAATGTACGAGATCAAGCCATAATTGGGCATTTTGGGCAACGTTGGATTAAGGAACGGATCAGGAACTTGAAGTGTAGCGGGAGAAATAGGAACGAGAGCTACAAGATTACCTTATAATGGAATATTGTCAGAACGGACCTGATCACGTCACGCCCACAAAAGATTGAAATGAGAGCCTGAATTTAATCGAAACCTAGATTTGAAGATTAGAATCTTGATTCTACGTCACCCATAGTTATATGAAATGTATCACTAATCAATTTAAAAAGTAAAACATGTATAAATACCAATTCTTCCGGACGGTAACGTCGACAAATAAATAATAATAATAATAACGAATTCACTAAACTCCAGATTCAAATTTATTTATATTTTTAAGTTGCAACAAATTTGTGGTTTTACCAAAAAACTTACAAAATTTGTATGAAAATAGATTGTCATTTTTTCTCACTGGAAGTTTTTCTTAAACTTTTTGCATCACATAAATCCATCATTTGTAGTTTGAGCGGCATATGTAAATTTTATAAAAGGAAGCAATACTGACTTCTCTTAAAAGTTTGAAATACAGTTTGAGAATCACTGATTTTAAGAATTTTTTTTAAAGTCCACCGTCCAAACCCTCAAATTCTATTTTTAATATCAATCACTTTTTATAGTTTATTCTACTGAAATAAAACTGAAAAACAGATAATTTTTCAAAAGAGAAGAATTTTTTTTTAAAAAAAAAGGAAATGAGCGATTTAACAACAATGCTCAATATCATGCCATAAACATGCATTTTTGTCATTATAGCACTGACATGCTAACTCTGTATGCCAACTATAACTTTTTTCATTCATCAAAAAGTTTTTCATTCCGAAAAAATTAAACTTATACAATTCTCATTAAATATTTAAAACTGGAAAAAAATCTCTCACCCGTCAGTAGTTTGGCAAGGAAGAAGCAGCAATCGAAATGAAATGCGGTTTTTTGTGAAAAGGTGTGAATAATTAATCAGGTTTGAGAAAAGCTATATTAGCGTAATTTTTTGTTCGCAAATACAAAATTTATGCAAATTCTTCTTAATGCATTAAGTATGCGGAAAAAGTACATTAAGATAATCTCAAATTATCCTTAATCAACTATGTTTCATTTATTTCCATTAAGTTTCCATTTCATAATTTTATTTTATTTGTTTAAGAGTCACCTGCAGTTCTTTGAATTATGTCCTTAGATTTATATATTTGTGTATGTATTTTACGTAAATGAGAAGAAAACTTTCATTAAGTGGCTGCGCTTTTATGAAAGATGTAAGAAAAGCAGCTTTCATCATCAAGCGGCAAGGAAGTAATGAAAAACTTTTTTTTAATGACTTTTCCTTCTTTTTTTCTCCTCTCTACTGTCTTTTTTTTCTCTAGGTCTTATGCTAAAATTATGCACCGAAGGGTAAGTTTCTTTAAAAAAATATATAAGTCACTTTCATTTCTGAAAAGCCAGTTCTTTTTTCATTTGCATGCTTCAAGCTGGTTCTTTTTTTCTCGAGTGAGTGAAACAATGAAATTTTAATTAATTTTTTTCTTCTATTTCTCTATTTACAATAGCAATTTCAGCAACTTAAGAGAAGTCACATAAAAGGCAAGAAGTACAATACCAAGATGACTGTCGACCAACTGAAATATAATACCTCTCATTGCTCTCATCTAAGATTACCTTTCTTTTTCTTTTGAATGCTGTGCTGGTAAAAGGAAAGAAAGTTTTTTTTGATTTCACTTCATTTTAAAAACTGTCAACTGCTTCAAACAATTTTCCACTAGGAATACTGTAAAGAATTTCATTTTGACTTTTTCATGACATTTAAAAGAAAAATCTTTTAATGAAAGAATTCATTTAAAACATATTTTTTATGCAATGCTATTTGCATTAAATATTTAACACAAGAATAAACATCTTCATTACTATTGCGAATAACTTGAATTTTATTTTTAAGAGCTTCGTTTCTAACATCATGTATAAAGAAGTTTAAAGTCACTACTTAACAATTTTATTATAATTGTTATTGTGGGTTACCCTCTCACAAGTTTCTGTATACAAGAAACAATTTTGTAGAAAAAATAGTAATCATCACTGAAGATGCAAAATACTCTATTGAAACTCATACTTTTAATGAGAAATCACAATAGAGAATTTGTGAAATAATAAAACAAGAGTATAATTATTATTCAAATGCAGAATTAAATTGCTTGGTTAAGCTTTGCTTGCATGTTTTTCAATTGATATGACTCGTTTTTCATGTGCAAAAACTACAATAATAAAGAGTGTATAATAGGAAACTAGAAATATGATGACAAATAGTGTGATCTAAGGGAAAGATTTGTTTGTGAGTTGGTGTTAAATCAAGGATTTAATAGCTTGCATTGCAATGAAATATGGATCATGTAAGAGTCGAATGCAAAATTTTCTGACAAGTTCTCTTGACTAGTCACATATTGACAAAGTTACTTATATGCTTTCATAGCATTTTAAAATAATTTATGCTAATCAAAGTTTTTGATAATTTTTCGTTCTAAAATTGATTAATATTATATGTACGTAAAAAAATTTGAAATTCATGTTGATAAAAAAATCTTCTTGTGGCAAAAAGGATGTCAATTAATCAACACTTTGCTATTTTACAATTGAACACTTCTGGATCTCATCCATTTTTGTTAATTTTGCTTTCTCATTCGACATTTAAGTTAATCTGCAGCAAAGCTTACCGTCATTGAAAATAGAACAGTTCCGTATAAGATATTGACAACCCTATGTTATGGTAAAGAAAGAAAAATATGTCGAATCATTATTTTTCTTCACATGAACCGTAAATGTTCATAAAAAGTTCGAATAAATAGATGAAAACAGTATGAGAGAAAATTTATTGCATTGTGAGTAATTCCTTTTAGCACATAAATTATTGATTTTTTCCCATTAACTTCAAGTCAATTCTACAAGCTAAAAACCCCTGAATGTTGTGGCTATCTAAGGCTATTTTTAACATTTTGAACATTTTTGTTTTAAGAAAATCGCATATTATTACTTGATGAAAATCGAAATACTTAACTTCTAGGAATTACAGATTCGAAAACTTTTGAAACCTTTTGACAGATAACTTACAATTTAATATTGTAATAAATACAAAGTCGACCAATAACATTATTTCCATTGAATCAAGTGTGCTTAAAAGAATATATTTTCACAATTTTACTAATCGCAGCTTAAAAGCAATTTTTTTTATTTAATATTTTTTTCGTTCCAACAACTGGGATAAAAATGTAACTGCTGTTATAAAATTTAATAAATTTTATTGGCAAAATGTTTTTTCATTGATTTTTTTCTTCATTTTCTTAATTCTCTATATGGCATATGGCACTTTACTATCATTGGTAGCAACACTCGATTGTAGAAGCTGTTATACGTTCATGTAGTAAATATATTCTCATAATGTAACTACCGTCTATCTTTACTTTAATCCTCTTCGCAATCGAAAATAAATATAGGGATCTTTGAACATGGGTACAACCAGAGCTCCCTTCTCGCCCATAATTTTTTTAACATGGATAGTATTTATATGAAATATTAATTACTCGAATAGCACGAGTCAGTTAATCAAACATAAATCCAGGTCCAAGATGGAATGACTCAGGACTTGGTGCCGGATTACTGATCGATTAACCGACTTGTGCCATTCGGGTAAATTAAACTAAAATCCTATTTTAAGAAAAAAAAATTGAACCCTGAAAAAGTTTTCTGGCTACGATCCTGTCTTTGAACAACAATACTCTATGTGTTACAGCTTATACTGATCTGTTAGTTACTGGAAAATCTCTCACAAGAAGATTACACCAAAATTTATTGCAATTAAATGTTTTTCCTCGGTCTATGTGGAAAGCTTCAATTAAAATGTTTAAATTGCTGTAGGAAGTACTCTAGAACTTTTAAAAGCAGTATACGAGTAAAATGTTTACATTGTAATTTACGATAAATTTCTTGTACTTAAAGCAAAAAATTTATTTAAACAAAGTGCAAGTTGAAATAAATTTACAGGTTTTTAATAAACTGTTACATTTCGTTATTTTTAACAAAACAAATTCACGCTAAAATTAAAGATCTATGAATTTGAAAAAATTAAAGTTTATATAATTTAATACTACTAAGCAAACTTTTTATCCAAACCTTTTTTTTACATCGCCAATAGATTTTATTTCAATAAACTTTGTTGCAATAAAATTTATCATTCCATTATTTTTATAGGCTTTCAATTATAATTTATAAAAATTAATCTGACTTATATATTTCAGTCAGTACTACTTTAATACTCTTATTGTTCCCTGAAGGATCAAATTATGCTCATTTTTCAGATGGACAATATGTTATTGCGTAACTAATAACTGGCTTTAATGCGAATGAGTATATATCATATGTACATAATGAGAATAAATTTGAGAAATGCTGTAGTTGAAGAAGGAAGTCCTGATATGTAGGAGATGATAAATTGTTCATAATAAATTTGTTTCTTCTTTTATAAAGCATACAAAATCAACAAGGAAAATTGTGCCAAAATGTTTATAAAAGTAAAACTCAGCTCATGTCTTCAAGTTTGTGCTCAATTTATTCAGAAAAGGCCTTGATATTAGGTAAAAAGGAAGTGTATTATTCGGGTCATTAGTACAGTTAAATGTGTTCTTTTTTTTATCTCCTCTATCTTGAAAACCCGTTGTATATGCTTTCCTGTTAATTATATCACAAATGCTGACGAATGTTCTTACCGTTTATGTTACACACCTAGAAATCCTCTAATTCATCATATCTAAATTACTCGTAAAAGTATCATTGCGTGATCCTTGGCCATTCTTCTTTTGTTTCTTTATCTTGTCAATGTTCGGCGGAGAAAAAAAACCCCCATCGTATGTGCTACAAGCAATTATTTTTGCGAAAAACGTATAAATAGTAAATGACCTATGTTTAATGTAATCATTACTTTTACAAATAATTTTAGTTAAACTTTCAAGGCCGTAAAAAAATAACCTAATTGCTTACAAACAGTCATTAGCCAATAAATATGCACACGTATACCGTAATTATTATTACCCTGAATGATAACAAAGTTAGATAAAAAGAAATTACAAATATAGAAACATTCAAATGAAAAATGAATGATTGGACTTCATTAAAAAGTAAACTGTATAGTAAATATGAAAATGCATATTGCATATTAACGCAACTAATCAAATTCATTGTTCAACGGTTATTATAAAGTTTTAATTGATTAACATTTGTCTAATAATATTTATTGGTAAAACTCTTTGGAAATCGATTAATAATTAACGAAAGCTACTTTATAAACCATTTATTTATATTTAATTGGATTTACTTTCGGCGTATTCCTTCTGTATGCATTTCATTTCTGTCTTTATCAGATATAGTAAAATCTTAATCATTAAGTTGATATACAAAGTTATGTGACTCATAAAATAACTATTCCTCTTTCATACAAACCAGTAATATTTAAGCAATGTATGTATGGATATATCTTCACAAATAAATATTATCAAAGTCTGTATGAATGTCGGAGAGTAATGCTCATAAGTTTTTATATTAACACAATTTCACTATTATATTCTGTATATCCATTTATTTTATTGTATTTTTCTTTATTTCTGCGAAGTCTTTGAACGGAGTTGGAATATTGAAGTCAATACACGTGAGATAATATTTTTATTCTTTAGCGTAATTTTAGCAGTAGTCAAAAAATAAATTTGATATGTTTCAGAAGTGAAATCAATATTTGCTCAATGGTTATATGTTCTTTTTATTTTATGTGTATTGATAAAGGTCTGAGCTCGTATAAATCTCATAAATTCCACTTTTTTGCACTTCTATACAAAAAAAAACTTACACAATATAAATAAAATAAAACTTTGTCGATCGAATTGTAGGGAACCAGCATAAAAGTTGATTAAAATTAACGTTATAAGCGCATTCTTAATATGTTTTAAACACTTCAAAACTCATTAATGCTGAACGTTGCATATTATTGCGTAATGATTTGTTTTAAAAGTATTAACAAGTTTTATTTAATTATTTAAATAGATTTCTCCGACCTTAGTAATCAAACCTAGAAAACACACTAATGTAGTTTATCTTCAAGCCACATCAGCTTATAAATTCAGAGACAGACAGAAATATTAAATAAAATGATGAAACTCATTTTGAAAAATGATTCAAAAAATAAAAAATAAACTTGCGATTTTTTTCTTTTATTGATTTTAGAACTTTCTTCGTTATAAAAAAGAGAGCAAAAAATTTCATAGCAAAGAAAAGAAACAGTATGAGATATGTTGCGGAAGGAAGAAAAAAAAACAAAATCTTTAGCAGCCGCATTTTTTGCTGGGTGGCAAACATTACATGTAGTATATATACTAAGAGAACAATCGCTTGAGGTAGTAAACTTTTCATTGCTTACATTTATTTTTGTGTTCATGTTGGCAAAGCAATGAATTAAGCAAAAAAATAAACAGAAAGAGTATTTAAAAAAAATCAATAATTAGACTTGAAATATTATCTCGTTCATCATTTTTCATTAATTTTTACAGTTAATTTAATTATTAAAAAAATGCTGAATGAAAAATGGTTTTCGGTAATTTTTGGATTAATCTCCAATTGTATGCGCCTTGTTTATTTAACTTCTTTTGAAACCCGATTCAAAAATTTTACTAAACAAGAGTTATAAGTAATAAGTTTATAGAGTTTCACTGAAAAAAGGGAAATCATTACTTTTAAGCCAAAATTCTAATGTTACAATGAATCAAAAATATTTATATTTCAAATATCTCTATTAATGTTTGTGCTTTTGATAGTTCATTTAAAAGCGTTTAAATCTAAAATCTAATCTCATTTTATTTTAGAAATTTTCCTTGTTATTTGGGAAACTCTTGAAAATATTATCAAGTTTCATAAGACAATCATTTGTTACAACACTTAAGTAGAAATTAGCTTTAAGGATTCTTTTTGTATTTTATATTTTCGGCACGTTTAGTGTCAAAAGAGATATCTTCTCTTCTCTTCTAATAAAAAGAACAAAACGTTAAGCGAATAAAGGAACTATTGGAAAATGAAAGGAAAGATGAAAATTAATTGAATAACACTTGACATGATTATAATATCTGAAAAAATGCGAGCATAGAGCAAGGCATAAAAGATTACAATTTTTTAATTAAGATTGATTTTAATCTTTTTATTGTTGTTATCCGATAAAATAATCTGAAAAGGAAGATTGGTAAAGGGTTTGAAAATTATCCAACTAATTTACATACAAATTGAATTTATGGATTTACACTGATAACAATGCTATAAGAAATTAAATGCATATTTCAGAGTCAAAAGTCTTCTCAACGAGATTAGCATAATGTTATTTAATTTTATTTTATAGTCTGGATGAGTTTTTATTATTGATTGTTATTGAATGTGTATGAAGAGCTATACATAAAGCACTGATGAACCATGAATGAATTTTAGGAAAAATATTTTAGTTTATTTGTATAAAAATTATAATATTCTTTAGAAATTTGGCTTTTGCCTACTGGATTCTTGAGTTTAGTGGATTAATTATCCTTCCAAGTATGATAATCATGTCAAGCTTTTTATCCACAACACAATAGATGAAAGGAATATTCACAGGCACTTCTGTTGGTCGTTTATAAAGCGATGATATTTCTGACATAAAAAAAATTAATAAAATATACACTCAAAGTTTCTTAAATCCATGTCAAACTTACTTTTAAGCTGTTGTGTTGATTGAGTTCGAATATTTATATTTATCATCTGTTCAATATTTTTCACATATAAAGAGTCATCATCGGACATCATTGAAAAATCGGCTTTAGTTGGTTCAAAAATGTCAATGATTCCCATCTGAAAAGGGATGAAATCCAATTTGAGAATAATAGTGTGAAAAATCTATATTGAGTTGTATAGGATACATACGTTTTGCAAATCACTGGTTAGAATTGTGTTTCCTTTAAGATGAAATTTGGGTACAATTGTCTTGATCCAATGAAAATCCATAGAGTTTCTTATGAACCTTAGAGTATTTGCAGGATGAGATCTTAACTTACTCGTTAGAGTATTAAGACCATCTTGGAAATCAGGAATGATTAAAATCAAGTTGTAGTATTCTGAGTCTAAGTCGATTTCAAGAAAAGATGATTGAAGTGAATTTATATAAGCATATTTCATTACTGTATCATAGAGTTTGTATGGTACACGTACTGTCTCATACTCATTGAGATAGAAAATATGTTCAATCGTATCTGAGTTCACGTTTTCAAATAAGTCCTTGTGATTGTTAATTCTACGCTTTTCCGCTGCTGTCGACCTAGGTGTGTGAATTGGATTTTCTGTTGATGAAGGTTGATGATGATGGTGATTGTGCTCATGATAGGCGTGGTGGGAAGATAACGACGATGATTTCGAAGTGGTAGGTATTATGGATGTTGTACTCAATGGCATGAGTGGAGAATATTGCGTAACTGCTTCCAAATGAAATTCATTCTCATAGTCAAGTATTTCATAAGATCGTGAGCGTCTGTTTATCGCACGATTTTCTGGAGCAACGTATGTTGACGGTGATGATTGCTTCTTGTCCCTACGGTTTTTTGCCTTCAAACCACGTCCCAATCTACCACGTCGTTTTCGAGAAGATGCAACAGTCGTTGTATTTTCGTTTTCATCATCATCCGTAGTTTCATCATCCGTTCCATTTGCCTTATTTGTTGTGGTTGTATCGTCTTCAGAAGCTTCCTCTGATTGAGGTGTTGTTGTTAAATCTTCATCAACATTTTCTCCCATGACATTTGTCACTGATGTACTTGACATATTCGTAATCGGTATTTCTGTTGTCATTTTTGAGGAAGTTGACGTTGAGCTGGATTCCGTAGGTGTGGAAAAATCTGTTAATTCTGTCACATTTTCCATTCCATTAACGTCCACTTTAGAGTCTGTTAACATATTTGTTGCTCCATCGAGATCATATCCATAAAATCTTAATACAGTTTCATATTCTTGCTTTATCGTAATGTTTTCTTTATTAAATATTAAGCCACTTAACAGATTTTCCTTTTTATAAAAGTAGCTCTGTTAAATGAAAATAAAGAGAATTTACCATGACAAAAGTGCTTAATAATTTATTTTAAAATTTAAGAGATGCTACTTTTTATGCTTTAAAAGAACGAAATGCTTGAATTGAGATAATTTTATGTTTCCAGCTATTCAACAAGAGACTTATTATGGTACCAACAATCATTTGTATTATTTGCACATTGTAGAGCAGAAATTGTGAACAAATTATGACAATGCACATTCTATCAAAATGTATAAACCTACATTTGAAATTATAGTCAGGATTTTTATTGACATCTAAGTACAATGAGTAAGACTGAGAAAGTAGAAAAGTTGCTACTTACTCTTAATCTCCGATGAATATCTCTTGTTCCAATTCTCACGATATCACGTTCACGTGGAAATCTCAAAGCTTCCTTCAACTCAACTGCACTTTTACCGCCACTTCCTTCAAAAAGTGCTACAAGAACACTCATCAAACCACATGGTGAAAACGCAACATTATTTTTATTGAGTTTTGAATGCAGATCAAGAATCGTAAAGCCCAAATAGTTTGTCGTATCTACCATTAGTTCAACTGGTTGAAGTTTCTTTGGTATGCGATTATTATCGTTTGAAACGTGCTCTGAATCACTAATTATTGAATAGATAGATATTGTAGAAGAAATCTCGATTAGTACTGATAGTAGCAGTGCAATCATCAATTTTAATTTCTTCATTTTCTATCTTTTTTTTTTACACTTAAATTTGTTTTTCTCATTCGTTTTATTCCTTCATTCACTTATCCAGACCATATAAAGAACAGATTTCGAGATATGCAACTGTGGTGATAACACTTTTTCCTATATAGCGATAACAAACAGTTTAGTATGTCAAAATAAAGAAAATCTCATTCAGCACGTTCTATAGCTTTAAGGAAAATGCGAACAATGCTTCTGTTTCCGATCACATCGAAATAAAGACTACTTAATGATGACTAAAACTCTTTTTCTTCTTTACTCTGTCGTATAGCTATACTTGTCTCATTTTTTTATTGAGATTCTCTTTTCAATCTAAGTTCTGTCTTGTTTATCATTATGTATAGACTCAGTTTTTGTTGTTATTAGCAACTTCACATTTTCATTTCATTCTTTCTTTCTTTCTTTCTCAAAAAATCAATGTGTTTCTTTGTTGTCTCTTTTCATCTCTCGACTATATGTTTTCAATGATCAAACGATTAAAACAATGAAGGAAGTTGTAAGGTGTGTACTCAATGGAGCATAAAGCAAACACAGATAAAACTGTTCTGTGTCTTTAACTTTTTAGTCATTAAAAAGAAGCTTGAATGGCAATGTTGTGAAAGGTAGACAAGAAAATTCTTTTTGATTTAAGGTTTATAAACTTTTAAATTGTATATTAGTTGAATAAAGCTTATTTAAAAAAAAATTTGTTGTGTTTTTTGAATAAAAATCTAGGCTACTAATAGGGATCTTTTACTTATGACGTCCGAAATTAACGGTCATTTAAAAAAAAAGCAATGAATTTCCAGCAATTTCTATTGTTCTTCTCTTGCTGACCCCCTCCCCTCCCCCACTAGACGTCATAAGTGAACATTCATCATAAGTGAAAATGTTTTAAAATGACATTTATTTAATAATCAATAAAATTTTTATTAATTTTGACGAAACATTCAATTAAGGACAATCTGATACGAATTCCTATTCATTCGTTTAATAAAGGTGATAAAATCATTCTGATCATTTTTTCTTCTCCTTCATTTATGCAAAGCGAGTCGAGTGTAGGTCGTCATAAGAATTTAAACACACACATCATTCTTTTTTCACTTTAAAGAACGTGTAAAGTAAATATCCGTGCAAAGAAGAATGAGTGAAATACAAAAGAAGAGAGGAGAAGAATGAAAAGCTAAAACTGGCCTCTTTTGTTGAACAATACAACTAAAAATTCCATCGTTATGAGAACAAAATCACTCTCTTCTTGCCAACAATGATGACAACTCAAAAAGTCGTTGCACCTATTATAACAAATTACATGAAGCAGAAGCTTCAATACAAAGCTTCATGTCATTTTATAAAATTACCGTCATTGATGGCAGTTAAGTGAAATGAGAGGAGGAAAGACTACGAAGACAAATAGAATAAGTCAAGTTTCTAGACATAGAATATTGATATTTCATCTCATAATATGTCATCTCGTTGTCTGTATTCACCTTTCACTTAAATGGATGTAACGAGTAGTCAATGACGATAGAAAACATATTGTGCATAATAGAAGCATAATTAAGCTACATACATACGAACAAGCATTCAAAGGTGTTTTAAAGAATTTTTTTTTTATGAATTTTCAACCTTTCATTCACATCAGATTTTTCTTTTATGTCGTTCCTAACATGTAAAAAGCAGTAAAAAGTAGCTTGAATGAAAAGCAAGAATGAGAGACACTATGCATATGCATAAAAAATGAAGAATAAAAGAAAAAGACTTCATCATTCATATACATGTAAACATTTATTTCCCATCACATCATTTTCCTTCATATTTGAGACTGTCTGTAAGCAGTGATTACAAGTCTGCTAAATAATAAAGCATAAAACTGAGGAACAATTTTCGTTCGTTCTCCCCTTTTGTGTACATGCAAAAAAAAATTCTTTTGCGTTTTAAAATTTTCAGCTTTATACATTTATGAATAAGTAAGTAATAGTAATATATACAGATTTGTGTATGCTTGGTTCCTTTATTTGGGCAAATGTCAGGCCATGAAAAATGAATATGTGGAAAGTTTTTTAATTAAAAAATATATGTAACTATGCAAAAAGGAGTTGATTTTTTCATGCAGAAATAACTTGAACACCGAGACCAGCAAAATGTTGATCTTTTTTGATCCATTAAATTGAGATTATTCAAAATGTATACATGCTTTATAAATAATTTATCATTTTTCAAATATATTGATTCTGACATTGTACCCTGATGTTAATTAGAAATATTCTAATAAAAAAATACACAATTTCTTATAAATTTTAAGCATATGGCTAATTAGCAAAATAGAATTTTTCATTAGAAAATTACATTTTTTTTTCGTCATCATATTAATTAAAAATTTAATGTTACTGACCAAGTATACAAAGATTTTAATTTATGCATGATGAAATTTAAAGCTGTGTGATATTCTTTGATGCTGAACATTAACCATGTTGGCTATCACTATTAATAATAATAATAATAATAATCTGTGAAGGGCCCAACCTTTTAGCTGGAGGCACTGCGATTCAATATGTAAAGAATCTATTGCATCATCTATTGCTAGTATATCCTTGTATGCCTAGCAAAGGAGGCATATTCTATGCCAAATACATCAATACTACACCCAACACACGAACCGAGCTGCGTAAGTAGAACTAGCTATCAATATTACAAATTCAACATATTATTTCAGAAAATTTTATTTTCTTATGCTGTAATTTAAAACAAAAGGTTTTGTCTCACTGGGCTGGATCTAATATAATATGAAGTTTGTCTTTGAAAACAAATCAGGAAGGGTGATTAATGTGTTGATAAAAAATTTAAATAAGAATTCGTGCTCTGAAATTTTTTCCCATACTATTGGTTGTTTCAAAAATGGTCAATCTTCTTTTTATTTCAAAAATGTAGAAACATGGATATGATAAAGAAAGAAGAATATCTAAAGTTTACTTTGAAGAAAGAAAATTCTCATGCATGCGTAGCGAAATTTTTAATATAATATAATTCTTGAAGATGTAGAATAAATATAATAATGTTAAGCAGGCAGTGACTCTAGAATAAAAACAGAACTTTAATTCTCAACCTTTTCGGGAAATTCCTTTTTTTTAAATAAGCTGTTATTTTTTGTCTATCTGAAAACTTTCTGTTTTATGATTGCGTCAGTTTGCGTAATGAATATATTAAAAAAATCGTTTGCACTAAATTCTCCGTTTCATTAAACTTTTCTTGTTGCTGTCCCTGTTTCTATTCTATATCATAACCACCAATGTTTTTATGAATATATAAAAGTGAATTGTATTTTTCGTATATTGTTATAAAGTCATGCACGGAGCTATAACAAGGACGTTCATTATGCAAATAAAATTTTCTCAAATTTGAAAGTTATTAAGGCAGTCTCTACTGTCATTTAGAATGCTTAAGGCGAAAATTTTTTATTCAAGGAAAATAAAATGAGTGAAATATTCTGGAGTGGCAAAAAATATAATTTTTTTGTGGGTTGGAGGTAAAGAAAAATAAAGATAAATACAAAAAATTATTGAGGTCGCATAGTGTCATCTCATGAAAATGCACGAAAATTAGCCAAGCATGCTTCTACTGTTGAGCAAGTTTTTCTACCTCTTCCTTGTATATAAAAATATTCAACAATTTTCATGTTTGGGATATCAATTTCCAAGATTAAATGGAAAGTATATTTCCACAAGTCTATTCATTTCCATTTTATTTCCACTGGAATATTTTTTTGTGGAAAAATTATCAAAAATGTTTCTTGATTTCTTGCGTGAATAACCTATATACGAGATAACTTTGCATTTAGTACTATACCGTTTATCGTTCGGTGAAGACACTAATAATGTCTCTTACTTTTTGTTAATACGTGAATGATGAATAATTGAATTAGTATAGCGGAGATAAAAAAACGTTTAAAAAAATATTTTTTGTGTCGAATACAGAATAAAAGGATAAAACGCAGTAAATTAATTAAATTCGAAAAATATGTCAGTATATATTGAAATTTATTTTAAGTGAATATGATTTGTTCCATATATGAATAATGACCACAAGTCTAGGATATTTTTTCGATTTGATAAAAATCCGTGCAGGTTGAATGTATTCTTTTATGATTTATACTCATTTATGATTGGCTGATAGCCAAAATTATTTTTTGAAGCTTTCTTCATATATGTCTCAAAAGAAGGACAGAAAAAAAAATAAAAAAAGTAATAATAAAAAATAGTTTATATTAAAAACTACACTAATAAGACTCGTGAGCTGTGACAAAGAGCATAAAAAAGGAAATAATAGAGAAAGAAGGATGGTGAAGATATGTTGTACAAGACAAACAGGATTATGATTGCGAAAAATACAAGAAAATGGCACATAAATGATTTATTGTGAATGTCGAATGCCTCCATGCCTGCAATATTGTTTTTTCTCATGTCATACATTTATTTCATTCTTCTTTTTTGGGCAAGGATTGAGAAGTGAATAAGAAGACAATGAAAAAAGAAAAAAAGTTTAATAACAAACATGTGAAATTAAGCTTATATCAAGAAAACATTTTGCAGATTGAGTGTATGTGTCTGTATTTTAAAATCAATAAAATAATGGAACATGAAAAAAATAAAATCAGGTTTAAAAATTAATAATAGCAGTATTAATAGTTTTGTGTTGTGTATAAATACTATCAAAGACACGATAAGATACTGTAGGAATCATATTTTAAAATAAATAGAACCTTTATGATTTTGACAGACAGAATAATAATAACAATAATGAATAATATTTAAAATTTATCTTACAATGTCAAGAGTAATGAATAGAATATGAATCCCTAAAATTTTTCCTTAGAATTGAATCTTTTTGGAACATTAATAATAGATGTACCTGATGATTAATTCAATTTGATTTATGAAGCCTTTTGTAAACTTTGAAAACCTTCACAAAACGTCTATCCATTTTTTTAACATTATTTATTTTTTTGAAAGATATTTATTTTCTTTTGTTCGATACCACAAAGGTAATATTTTATGTCTACATGCATTTGCACAAATTATCAATAATCCATGTGGAATTTTCAAGCAGACAATAATAATGCCATAAAAAAGTTTTTAAAAAATTGAGACAAAACTACCAACACTAAAACTTTCGGCATCAAAGATAGACGCTTTTTTATCGTATTGAATGGTACTAGAAAAATAAAGCACAATTTATACGACATTCACATTTGCATAGATTGACATATTTATTGCAAAAATAATAATATAAATGAGTGTGAGCAATAGTACGTTTTGAATTATGAAATTGTTTAATAGACGGAAAATTTATTCAAGCCAAAAATTGAATGAATGCAAAGTTTTTGGAGCAAGAGCATCAATATTGTACACACACACTAGGCATTTTTCAGAAGAGACTATCAATTTCTATTCTTATTTATACTGGTTTACTTTCTGTGGATTGAGTTTGAAAGTACTTATAGACAAGTCGTTCTGAATTCTAAAAGCTCTATTTTCATCAATTGTATATTGAATGTTCGAATTGATAAGGCTTGAACTTTTCTTGAAACTACATGTGATAGAGAAGAGTAAAATATAAATTGATGCCTAAAAGCAATATAATAGGGATCTTAAAGTAGGAATTTAATAAATACATTTGCAGAGAATAACACAACACAATAAACAGATAATCGTTTACGCATAGTTTAATTTGATTATCTCATAAAAAGATTTTTGTTCCTTTTCTGCTCTCATTCACTGAAACAAAAGCAAATATGAAATGAGGAAAAACAAGATAAGGATAACATTGATTGTATACCATATGCATTATATTAGGTTAAGAAAATAAAAATGAAAATAATAAACAAGATATATACAGAGGAAGAAAAGTTGTGTAAAAATAGAATGAAAGTACCCCAATAACGATTTTGGAAGTGTTTATCCATCTTAAATTCCTATTATATTACATATGATATCTGTTTGAGTAATATAAGTAGTATTACTTGTAAAGATTTAAGGAAGTTAAATCATAAAAGTAATATGAAGACTAGGTGTAAAAAAGGGATAAAGTGCCAGAGGTACTGAGTACACGCTTCAATCATGGTTCACATAACCTTTTTTACCATAACCGTAGACTTGTTGAAAATTGTTGCTTTAAGCGCGATATGTGGTTTTAGTGGCAAATCGTTGAGCACAGATTTTATTTTTATAGGATCTTGTGACTTACATTTCAAAATCATTCACTGCTGTTACATTTATGTATGTCAGAAAATTTTCTCGTCTCCTTGTTTTCTACGTACAATGAGAGTTTTAGGTATTTTGATGTCTTCACCATTCTCTATCGTTTCTTGATCCATGCATTATTTTTAAATAATATTTTTTAAATTAAATTGTTCTTTCATCACTTAGCTTAAATATATTGAGTGAATAATAAAAATAATAAAAACACATATGAGAACAATAATAAAAAATTGTGATAACTCTTTAGCTCGTGTCTTTTTGAATATGATGAATATGAAAAAAATTGTGACAATTTGAATCTACCCCTCTGTTTTTATCATACATTCATCGCTAAACAACGAGGAAGAAAATGCCATCATCATAAGAAATCCATAAAAATATGTATTTTAAAAAGGAAGTGTAATGATACATGTGCTGAAAATATTGTATATTATATATGAATACAAAAGTGTAATAATTCTTTTCCCAACGTGCGAAAATGCGTAAAGATATTTCAGAAAAAAGAGAAGTGAATGAAAATAGCAATTTGCTTGTCATTTCTTTCTACTCTATCTTATTTCCATTGTATGTTTAAAAAAGTGAAGGGAAAAAAGTTTAACGTATCACTTTAAGTACACAAAAAAATTTCGTCTTTGTCAAGGAAGGAAGCATACACAAAAGACAAGTGAAATAGAAATTTTGAGAATATGTTATAAAGTGTAGGTGCCAGGGTAGGTGCAAAAAGCAGAAAAAAAGGAAAAAGTAAATTTTTTATCAGCAAGGAAAAAAATAAGAAATTTCGGCACACGACATATACACAGATGAAAAAAAAAGAAACACTTTTATTACAAATTGTGAGACGATTATCTTTAGACAAGATTAGAAAAGAAAAATTTCTCATTCTCATTAAACGCATAACGACTCAAAAATATTTCTTGCGTGCATTATCATTTTGACAAGTAAAAAAGAAAGAAATATAAAGGAGAAACAAAGAAGAGTGAAAAAATATATGAATGGAGTGAAAAATAAAAAAAAATCTAATAAGATAAAAAATAAGTGAAATTTATGTGTAGTAGCACGAAGATGCTACTGGTGTATCCAACTTGTACCACCTTTATATTATTCAACAATAACGTGTCAGAAAAGATAAATATGGAATAAATACAAATTTTTATATTCGCTTCTCTACTTTTCTCACACGAAAACGTCGTAGCCAGTGTTTTCAGTGGTGATGCTTGTGTCATAAACAACATCAAGCTTTATAAAAAGTAAAGCGAGAAAAATTAAATAAGCGAATGAAAACGAATTACACACAAGGCATCCTCGCATATTGTGTGCATACCTTTATAAAGCTGTAACTTAAAACACGATTATCCTTGGATTAACTGACGATTTAGGCAAAAATGATTTTTGGATATCATCTGAATATTGCATTAATATATTTAATACTTCTGCATAGTAAAATGAAAGGTACGTACACAAGAAACCTCATGAAATTTTTTAACTTATTTATTCAACCCATGTTAAGTCATAATCTTATTCCATAATATTAAAAGGCCAGTAAGAGCTTTATGTGTTTGTATTAAATATCGGATATTATGTGTTATGATTTTATACCCATATATTTCATGAAAGCAATCTGATATAGCTCATGAAAAAGAAGCAAGGTTTAAATGGATTATAAGCAGGTCATGGCGGGCTTTTATCACCAGAAATATAACAAATTTTCCATTTCCTTACTTTTTTCTTCTTATCTCTAAACAATAAATAATTGTAGCTGTAATTTCTGTTTTCATCTTTTTCCTTACATTTACGGAAAAAAGTTTCATTCATGGTTTTTTCTGTTGTGACTTTTTATTTTATCTCATGCCTTTATTTTCTATAGCTCCTTTATATACCTAAATGCATGACAAGGATGAAGAAGTTTTCTCTTATAAACATCGCCGAATAAATAATCTTTCAAAACAAAGATTTATTTCATGTGACATAAATAAATTGAGATTTTTAATGCTTATTTTTTGAGTAGTTTATGCTCTGTTCAAGGTTTTAAATTTTATTAAGCTATTTTCTTTTTTTCATTTGAAAGACTTTTTCTCACACAAGTAAACAAATTTAGTTGTTCATTTAAAATGTCTAGCAGGCAGTGGCATAGCCAAAAAAAACATCGATTTGTTAAACAGCTACTAAATTTCAAAACTATCATGTCAGAATTTTTAAAATTTTGTAATTTTATGATCCTTGAAATTATCAACTTAGTTCTTAGACCGTAATTTAAAGAAACAAAGAATGTCGGTTCAATGGGATTTTTTTTAAAATGAAGAATATCCAAAAATACATTGAGAATTGTGTAGACTTTAAAACTTTCTTATTCGAATTAGCATATATTTCCGACGTCCCAATATCAAACTTCAAATGAAAGCAATAAATTTTTTAGTTCCGAAATTTCCATTTAAATTGTTTTTCCAAAGTAATTTTGGCTAAATCCATTATTGGATCAGTTTCAAAAAATTTCAATCAATTCAAATTGTTCTTACAATTTTCGAAACAAAACAATATAATTTGACATTTTTATGTCATGTCCACGGCTTGAAGAAATAAATTTCTCTATTTTTTTTTTTTTCTCAAAAACTTGTTGTTGAAATCCTTTTACCCACGTCTAAAACTTTATTTTTTTTTATGTCTCGTTCTACCCTTTTTATTGCTGTTTCCATAAATATTTCTTGAGGGAAGGAAAAAAAAAAGTTGAAAACAAGTTGTGAGACATAGAAAAGTGGAACAAACATATATTACCAGTGCGAAATTTGGGTGAAATCAATAAACATGGAATCACTTATCATAAAAAACAAAACGCTTTGGGGGGAAATTTTTCTCAACAAATTTTAGGCTTTAATGACTTGAAAACTTTCCTATCATATTTATTAATCTTGTTTATACATATATGTTTACATGGAACAACAAATGCTTAGAAGTATGAAAATATTCATTTGTAAACGCTTTATAAGCCTTAAGGGATAAATTTAGAGTGAGAAATATCTGGTGTTTATTTTTATTTAAGATAACATGCCAAAAATATTTTAACACAAAACAAACGCACTCTTCTTAAAATTTTGTTTGAGCTTTTCACACATAATTCAAATAATGGCTTAAAATCAATTTGCTCATCTGTTGATTTGATATCTTTGAATCTTCTTCTAGGTTTTAATCAATAATATCACATAGTGATGAAAAATATATTTAAAAAACTGTTTAATTTCTGAATAAAAATTATCATCAGAAAACGCATCCTTTATAAAAAAATGAATACCTGAAGGATGCTTAAAAATTCATTTTTTGAAATAAACTGAAGAGTTTTTGAGAGATCATCATCTGCATTAATTTATTCATTTTTTGTATAGCAATGAAATTTGATGTAGGATAGAAAAAGTTTCTAAAGTCATTAATTTGTCAACCGACTCTCTTAATAAAATTAATTCTTATAAATTAGGGGCTGTTCATTTATTAAGTTCTCTCTTCAAGGGTCTTGGATTTTGTCAAGAAAGGGGGTAATGATAAGTTTCTGAAAAGTCGTTGTTTGGAACTTAATATGTAAATGAGTCTATACGAAGTTAGAATTTTCAGAAAAATAAAAAAAAAATAAAAAACGGAATTGAAAGCTTAAATTTTTTGAGAGGAAGCTACAGACGTCAGTAATCCATTATAATAAATAACATCGTTCTTTCCCAAAGTGTATTTGCTCAACATTCAAAACGGTTCAAGCAGTTTCTAATATTCTGTGAAGTATTTTATTTCACAACTTTTTCAATTTATCTATTTCGTTCCTGCTTTTAAGTCCCTTATGATATCATTTAAGCGAAAAAATTCGTTCATTGTTTATTACTTTTGTTGGGTGATGAATGAATCATGCTCTAACCAATTTAAAAAAGTTTTTCTCCTCATAACGAATATTGACTTTTATGTCTATGGTAAAGTCCCCATCTTGATGCTTTGGTACGTTTGATGGCAATTTCTTCGTCAATTCTCAAACTTTTTCTTTTGCTCATTTTTTATTTTTCATTTTTCCGTAGATAGATGGTAATAACAATAATAAGAAGGTTGAAAATTTTTCTTCTTGTTGATTTGTTCAAAACACAAGTGATGCTTTCATCTACCTAGAGATAGAGGAGTATTCGCCTGAAATTCAATAGGCCTTTTATTGAAATTTTTATTTTTGCATCCTTCTTAAAAAAATTTTTTAAAAGATGTTTCCCAATAGAGGCACAAAATGAAAACTTTAATGCCAAAAGGAGTATTATTAACTTCACACCTGAGCATGAAATAAAACCACCGTTCAGGATATGATTAGGCACTCGAATTATTTAAAATCCAAATCATCAGTGGCTCATTCATAACATTAAACTACATGATACGTCATTAGACCTGATGTAAGTTTAATGGTGTGTTTGTGAGAACAGGCATCTTGACAAAAAATAGCAAGACTTTTTTATGAGCAAGCTATCAATTTCATTAATGCCACTCTACATCAAGAATGAATGAAACAATTTCCAAGAAAATAAGTCTCGCAGAAAAATTCACAAAGACTCAAAAGCACGATTAGACAATAAAATCAGGAAACTCAATATTTCTGAAGAGTAAAGTTTTGTTGCGGTAAGATACCCTAATAGAATCTTTAATACTACCTTTAATTTCTACCGTTATCAAATTTGAATTGATATATTGGGTCATGCAATTGTGTAGAATTACATGAATCAATCGTCTGTAAGGACCAAACTATCTTTATATAAAGCAATTTATCAAATTTTTTGTAAAATTTAAAGCTTTTAATCTGGTCTAGTCGTGAGATGAAAAAAAACCAACAATGATTGTAAATATGCTCAGAAACTTCCTCAAACTTTAAGTGTCCGTTTTAAAAAACGGATTTTTTTCAAAAAAAAATTGATTAAGTTTCTTTGAATTAAAATATATTGGTTATGTGGCACCTTTAAATGTTAAAAATTTGAAGACACTATCTTAATTTGTTAAAGTTTGAAAAAAATTGAAATTGTTTGAATAAATCTCGATTGTTTCAATAATCGGAATAGAAATAAATAAAAATTTATTAGGATTTTACTTCTTTTCTACAAACTTTAATGTTACCATGAAATAAAAATAATTTGAGAGCACAGCTAAAATTTTGTGTCTGTATTATGATAATAATAATACTTCTTTTGTCTTTAAATCTATAAGATGATATTCTAGGATGGAAAATATGACGATGCGACATATAAAACAAGATGAACACATCCATTTGTAGCTTCTTCTGTATATTTTACTGTTGTCATTATCGAAATATATTTTTGTATTTTTTACATTCACACCGTTTTCACGTGTGAATCTATTGGTTTTGTTCAGATTGAAAAATCAGTTTTTCGCATTTTGTGAGAAAACGAAGCAAAATTGGTTATAAAATGTCCTCCATGAAAAGTTTGTGCCTGAAATTTTACATCATTTTCAAAAACGGATTTCAAATTGGTTACGGCATTGCTGAGAAAATCGCAAAATACGCTTTCTGTAAGCAAACAAGCAAGCAAGCAAGCAAGTTAATCAGCAAGAAATCTCAATAACGAGACATTGTAGAGACTTTTAGTTTTTTACATTTGATCCGTGCTGCTCTATAGAAGAGCTGTATTGTTTCTGGGCAAGGTAGGAACAGCCGTTGCTTCAGAAAAAGCAAAAAACCTTCCTTTCCTACGAATTTTTCAAAAAAAAAAGTTTACTGTGATTTTTATAAAATTAAACTTTGGATGAAAAAATTTTTTAAAAAACTTTTAAAGAATGTTCGTTAAGCTTTAAACTTTCAAACTCATGCTGAGCGAAGCTCAGCTGACTCGCTAGCTTTATACCTTCAAACTTATGCTGAGCAAGTCTTGGTCTATCCATAAGATTTTTTATGGTACGGTGTGAATATATTCGCATTGGGTTTCTCCCCGATACACTAGTTCTTTACTAAAATCGCTTATTCATGCTCAGCATCTTACTTTTGAATGAAAATTCTATAAGAAAATTTTGCTTTGCTTAAAATATTCTATAGCAAGACATGAAACAAAATTTTATTTCATTTCATTTCATTTATTTCTCTTTACCATTTGGATGAAATGAGTAGCAAAAAACTTTTCTCGTTTTTTGCCTTCATTTCATTATTACACTGCCTATATTTTTTAAACGAATTTATAAGAAATTCAATTGAACAAATTCAACAGCCGTTTGGATATAAAAAAGTTTTCTTTAGTCTGATTCAAATATTTATATTTTATTGATTTAAATTTTATTTTATAATTGTACTTACTCACTTACTTACTTTCTTCCTGTGACCATGTTCCTATGTGGAGCTTAGGTTACAACAAAAGGCTTTCCATCTGACTCTTAATCTGACATTCTTTCATCACTGTACTGCGCTTAGTAGCTTTTGTTGCTCCTCGACGACTTTTCTCTTGCGGATTCTAGCCATGGGCTGTGTAACAAACTTGGGTTTTTATCCCAGCATTGGCATTTGAATGCATTTTCTCTGATATTTTTAATTGTGTTATGAAAATAAGGAATATAATAAAACAAAAAGGATTTTCCAAGAAAAACATCAAACAGCGATTTGAAATTCATTTAATTTTTAATTTTGCATTTTGCATTTTTAAATTGGAAAATTTAAATTACTGATGTCAATTTTCAAAACAAGAAAAACCAAAGAAAAACTATAATCTAATTGACAAAAGTCTGTTGTCCATTAAAATTTTCTCCTTTATTCTTTTTGGTATATTTGTTGAATAAGAAGAGCAAATTTCCACAATTTAATACAGTAGACTGTTCTCATGTTTGTTTCTTTCGGCAATATCATTAGGACGCATAGGATTAAATGCTATTAGAAGCTTTTTGCTCGTCAATCGACCTTGATTTTCTCTTCTGGGTCAGTACATCTTCAAGCAAAATGTGATATAGCATCATGAGAATAATGCTAAATGGCAAATAAGAGATAAAAGGAGAAAAATTATACACCATTTATTTACTCACTCAGTTTTGGTCTCGGAGGTAGAAAAGTATGAGATAGTAATGATAAAAACTTGCAGATTGTTTGGTAATTTATATGAATAAATATGGCATTGGCATGTAAGATACAAAGAGATTAAAGCTTAAAATCGCTTAACATTTAAGTTGGTGGTTAATTTTTTTCAAAATTAATATTAAAGAATAATCTATGAACTAATTTAAAACCATATATATTCTTGCCTTAGTCCGGCTTAGTTAAATTTACAGTAAAAGACAAAAATTATTTTATTTAAGTTTAAAGACATGAAATTTTATTAAAGAATTGCATTTTTTCTGAACTCTTTTCAGAATCATTGAGCTATTCATCATCCACAATTGAACCAGCCTCATATTTAGCACCGTATTTTGATATGGATGTACATAGAAACATTACAGTAACAATAGGACAAACTGCCTTTATTCATTGTAGAGTGGAACGACTTGGTGACAAGGACGTAAGTAACAATCATAATCAATTTATAGAACCTTTATGTCCAAGAGTATTTTTATGCTATTAAATGTCAAAATATTTTATTAATTACTTCCAACTACAATCATTCTTTATCAAATCATTAAAAACATATTATTTTCGTTTGTTTATTTTTTCCACATTTACGCCTCTTATTTTCATTAGACATTTAACATGGAATTATTGTTGTTGATACTGCTGTGAATGTTGTTCTCAATGACTAATTGTATTTCTTTGCATCGACGCCACCAGCTAGTAAAAAATATATCTCATTTTATTATTTTCTTTGAGTATGACTTACTTATTAATAACCAGTGTAGACTACAACTCACTGGGATAATAATTGATGTATGCTTACCGAAACCATGGAATTAAGTTTGCTCTTATGACCACGATTGCATTAAGCAAGAATGCAAAGATCTGAAAAATATTCTGTAAATTATCAATTAGGAAAGTAAATTGATTTCCTGTTACTGCATGTGTATGTATGTAAAGTTCACTATCTACTATTTGATCTTGTGCTAAAGTCAATTTAATTGGTATAACTACTATATGACGGTATAGATACTAAACATTCTATCGCCATGCTTTTATTATTTTCTAGCAACAGAACATGTGAATTAAGAGTGTATGTATAGATTTTTGAAATTGAATGAGATTTTAATCTCATTTTGATTATGGAAAACTACTGTAAATGAAATTGAAAACGTTTTGTGCCTTTATCTGATCTTAAATTAATAAACTCATCGAATTGCAATGATTGCGAAGATGCTAATGTGATATTAAGCTCAATTTTAGTGACTCTTTCAAATCTGATAGGATTTCAGTGACTTGCTATGATTCTAAGCTTTATTTTATTGAAAACTGCACTTGGGTATGAAATGTGTGAAAAAATTGTATGGTTTTGCACTTGTCAAAGCGACTCTTGTCTCAATACGATGGCTTATAATGTGGAATAACTGATGATATCTTAATGTAAAAGATTTCAATGTGAATGAGTACAGTGGTATGAGGTTTCACATTTAATAATTCTCGTGTTGAATTATTCTAAGGAAACAAACGTTTACATTCACACAGAAAAATGCTTAGATTCATACTTTATGCATAGAAACCGTGCTGCTTTCGAAGAGGCTCTTTATAAATATATAGAGTGTTAGGAAATGAAAATAAATGAATAGCATGCGGCAAACAAAATGTAAAAGCAGCAAGCGAGAAAGATGAGCAAATAAAATCCCATAATCCCTTAGTGCTTTCATCTATTTCAATCCACATTTATGTGTTTTTTTTCCTGCCATCATATTCGCAATTCTCCCTTTTACTATCCATTTCATATACATACATACTCTTACTATAGGGATGCACTTGTCAGCAATCTATTTGACTTTACATACATACTCAATACCTAACACATAGTTCAGTTATGTGAGAGGTCAAATAACAAACATGGTGCAAAAGCATACAAACGGAAACGAGTTGTAATTAAAATGTACACTTTTTGGGGCATTTTCTTTCGATATGCCATATAAGACTTACCACAATTCCCAAAAATACAACAATTGATGTCTCCGTCCAATATTTTGTGGTCTCAGCATTAATATCAGATGATGATGATGGTGATGCGGACATAAAATACATTCCAAACATTGCAATGACCACCAGACCAAAAGTAATGATTGTGAGGAGCGTGCATAACAAAATATCTGACTATTTGAGGAATCAAAGAAAGAAATTATATGTATTATTATTCACTTCACGTCTTAATTTTCCTGAATAGAAAGGTACAAAAAGAATTCTGATTTTCTTATGAATAAATGAAATAATCAGACTTTTGATGCTCATTTCAATGCCAAAGTTTCAGCAGGAGAGCATAATAAAGATTAATTTGAGTTCATTAAGAAGATGAAAATAAGGTTTTAATTAAAAGTATTATAATGGCAAAAGATTACATACGGAATTAAGGATTAGATACCAAAATTATCAAACTAGAAAACATATATTTTTTGTAAGTAACGTTTTGTATAAAGTCCTTTTTATTAAATGTGATTTGTTATAGAATCAGTTAAACTATGCCATCTGCTATGATAGATTATCGTTTTATTGATTTTATCAAGATTTTACGACAAGGAATAAATATATTCAATCCATCAAAAAACATTTTCTGTCTACTCCTATTCAACGATTTTTACTGAGTTTATTTCTTTGACAATATTCTAAAATTCTATAGCACCGATTCATGCATGAAGAATATTAAAATCGACAAATGATAAGTGATATCAGTATTATGATAATATTTTCTCGTATGAGTATTGAACAGAATCTTTTAACTTTGTGTATGAGTGAATAAATATAATATAAGCTTGTATCTACAATTGAGTATAAGTGCATAAAAGTTGGAGAGCATGAAAATGATAAAGCATAAAATTATTTAATTAAAATTTCATGATAAGCGACATTGGGAATTGCTGGTGACTGAGACTAAATGGTAAAGGCAGAATGGATTTTAAAACAAGATCCAATATTCGATCATAAATATTCGGGGTTTCTACTCAGGTTTTGCTTGTTTTATACATGAAGTGCTTTTTATAATCCACACATGGAATTTTATTATCGAACATTTATGCATTTAAAATTTCGGTACAACTGGGAGTATGCTTCACATACGGATACAAATGAGTAAATTTTCGGTATAACGTAAGACAAATTTAATCACAAAGACTACAAATACAAACCTGCAAGAGAGCACGATGTGGTGAATACGAAAACCAAATTCTCATAGACTCAAATAATCCATATCTGGAAAAGAAAAAAATAATGGAGATGTTTTAAAAATATTTAAATATCCTCGTGCTTTATCGAGTGACTTCAGCGCATTTTTACCAAATCGATCAGTATTTGATAAACAAGTTATTGAAAAGCAATTAGGGGCCGTTCAATTATGACGTCCGAAATTAACGGTCATTTTTCAAAAACGAACAATGGATTTCCAGGAATTTCTATTGTTCTTTTCTGTCAGACCCCCCCCCCCCCCCTGGACGTCATAAGTGAACGGCCCCTTAGCAAAATCAATTTTAATTAAATATTTGAAAGGTCAATAACGCGATGAAACTAAGCTAATAAAACAAATCCTAGCTCTCCACGATATCAGATTAATGAAATTTTATTTGCGACCGAGCGAACAAAGTGCAATATTTAACTTCATTTTAGAAAACAAGTTTATAAAAATGCAGTTGAAAAAAAAACCAAATAGTGTTCAAAATTTAATTTGTATGTGAGGATAGTATCTGGTTTCTATTGATCACATGTTAAACAACTCAATTTAATTCTTTGATTTTCAAGATTTTCTTACACATTTAGGTACATAAAATTTTAGTATTTTAAGGAGTATTAAGCAGTATATAGGATGAACTTTTCGAAAAAAAAATTTTAAAAACCATTTTATTTTTCATACAAACCTCAAATAGTTTGCGGTGGCAAAACGAAACAAGCACAATTCACAATGATCAAGACCTGAACGTGATAACCAATTTTCGAGACATTGACGATGTACGAATGCATGTGTTCCTTTACATTGACAAGGGGTTAGAAGTCTATAAAAGTAAAAAGATATTACAATTAGTTGTGATTTATCCAATTTTGCTTTTCTCCAAATTGGAATCAGGAAATTGCAGCAACTTTAAGTTTCAGTAAAAGTTTTCAAAATACTTGCTATCATGAAAATAAGCTGCTTTAACTGTTGTTAGTTTTCAACTTGATTATTTCTCAAGTTTTTTTTTAAGAATTACAATGATGTAGTTTGTTTACTCATAAGCGCTTTTGAGCAATGTATATTTATTTTCTACCTGGTCTTATTTGTCGTTGAAGTATCATTTCCAGAGATAAAATGTAGTAAAACTATAATGAATCTCTATGACAATTCAACTGTATAATAATTATCATGATGATGATAGCACTTGACACATATCATAAGCTTATAAATAATGTGGGTAATAGAAGTGTAAAAGTGATAGAAATGCTTGACTGCTCAGTCAAAGGGCTTTCATATTTCGTTTCCTTTACTGTGTAATTAAATTAATTACTTTTTATACGAGAAATTACATCCTTTCTTCATCTTTTTTCTCTCATAAAGCTAATTAGCTTGGTATTCAGTTTTACGAATGAATGTTTAAAACGAGCGAGTTTTAAGTTTCCATAGAAATACAATAAAAGCATTTTGCTTCATCCCTAGATGCTTATGAGACTGTACTATGCTATTAAATAATTAACTTTAAAATTAAATTTAAATTCCAAACTAGTGTTTTGGGTAGAAACCCAATGCGGATATATTCACACCGTACTATCAGAAGTCTTATGGATAGACCAACATTTGCTCAGCATAAGTTTGAAGGTAAAAAGTTTAACGAGTCAGCAAAAACAATACAGCTCTTCAATAGAGCAGCACGGATCAAATGTAAAAAACTAGAAGTCTCTACGATGTCTCGTTATTGAGATTTCTTGCTGATTAACTTGTTTGCTTGCTTGCTTACAGAAAGCGTATTTTGCAATTTTCTCGGCAATGCCGCAACCAGTTTGAATTCTGTTTTTGCAGAAGATGTAAAATTTCAAGCACAAACTTTTCATCTGCGAACATTTTCAGCTATGTTGCTTCAAATCATTTTTTCATCCAAAAAAGTGATTTTTCAATCTGAACAAAACCAATAGATTCACACGTGATACGGTGTGAATAAAATAAAAATTATCTTTGTTGAATTAAAAGCAAAACTGTCATGTTGAAATTAATCAACCGATTTACATAGTATTGCAAACACTTATTTTCATTTTAAATTAAATCTAGATTTTTTTAAAAAAAAAAATCTAGCTCTTTTAAAAAGTATAAGCTTGTAGAGATCATTAAAATTAAGAACCAAAGTGCACTTTACCTATCACATTCATTATTTGTTAAACAAATGCGGCATATAATTGAAGGTTTTGATAACGATGTAACCGCGCTTTTGTCATCATCGTGGTCTCGAGCAAAACAAGCCGTGATGGATGAATCACTGCTTGATCCTAGAAAAAGAAACAAATAAATAAAAACACGTTCAATCCATTAATGGATGTTGATACCACATAAGCATTTTACGCATAAAATAATTAATGAAACTAAAACTGAAAGCTATTTAGATAGTATTTCAAAAGGTTTTATCTACCAGATATGAATGAAAATGAAAATGTATGCTATAGGGTAGATGATGGTATAGATGATATTTTATTCACGTCAGATAGAAAATTTTGTGTGTGAAAATTTAATTAAAATATGTAAACACAATTTAGACTAAGTGCATGACTCACATTGGTACCTTGATTGTGACATGGATCTCATCTATCTTTGAGTATCATCAACATTATACTCTACTTCTCATGTGTGTTCATACATCTACCTACATTTATATACACACCTACGATATCATGCAACGCTCTTAATTTAACAGAATGAAGGAACTTAAAGCAATTTCAGCTATATGTTTAATTTATACATAATAAAAATTAAACTACCAATTCTTCTTTATTATACATATAAAATGTATTCGCACAATTTCAACTTTATGAGCCAACATATTGTGAATGGATAAGTGCATTTCAAGTAATTTTAATTTCAATTTTTAAAAATTCACAGGCACAAAAGAAGCGTGTATTTACAAGAACAAAAATAAAGAAAGCAAGAACAATTGTAATAGGAATTAAGAACAATTGTAGTAGCATTAAGGGGATGAAATAAGTCATTTGTTTAATTAAAACTACACTTTTTAATCTCATTGTTCTCATGTTCATTGTAACCCCACGTTAAAGAGAATCTTCATTCCATTCATTCTGTAACAAAAGTCATAATCATTATATCTTACGAGAAGCAGTGAGTTGAATTGTGTGTTGAAATTTGAGTGAACAAGTTGACAAGGTTTTTTTTTTGTTTTAATGTAAAAAGGGGAGAATTGGATTTTTTAACTATAGATGATGTAAATTGTTGAGAAGTTTGTTGCATAAAGGGCTCAGATGAAAAATCTTTTTTTATATATTTAAATAAACTATATATGAAAGTTAATGTAAAAAATGTTGAATACAGAGTAGCGAAGGGATAGAAATGAAAATGAGAATTTACAGCAAAAAAGTAAGCTTGACAATTTATTATTATTTTTTGTTACTTTTATAGCACAGGACAAAGGAGAAAGATTTATAAATTTAAATTTTAAACAAGTCTAGCGGAAGAAATGAGCCCTTGTTTCTGTTTGGTAAATGATAATCAAGAAAAAAAAAAGAAATATATATACAGATATATGAACTGGAAAAGCCTAGCAAAATTTAGATGTTTTAGAAAGCTTCTATGAAATAGAACCCTACTAAATTCTGCAATGTAATTTCATTTACCGAAACAGCTTTCTTATCAAGTTAGTTGCCATCAATTTGAAAACATTCGATTTAAAAGACATTAGATGATGAATAGTCCTATGTGCAAATGAAGTTAAGCTTCAAGAATTTACTAGAGAACATGTTTCAATATTGAAAAGGAGGGCCTGAAACTTTCTTGAAATTATTCATTACAGTGATTTGATGTCGCAAATTCAACACAAACCATTAACATGCTATTCATGATATAAATGTCTCACTTTTAACTTTTAGATCGTCGGAATATTTTAATTCATCTTTCTTTCTCGTCAACAATTTTAGAATCAAAACAAATTTTTTTTATTGTAAAATTACCTTCTGTACCAATTTTTGTGCTTGAATTTTCATGAGGTATTGTGAATTCTTCATTGTTTGTATCTTGAATAGAATTTGATGTGACTTTTTCATCCATAATTTTTACTTTCCTATTTTTCACTTTTTTAAGCTATATCCAACAATTTCCTCCCAGTCGTTTTTCACTTTTTCTTTGTGTTTTTATTATTTCTTCCTTTAACAAATATATTTTATTTTTTTCTGTACCACTCGCTCATTAACGCACGACAAAGTTTTTGGTTGTATGTAGAAAACAAGAAAATTTCGTTGCTTCTTTATATTAAAATAAAAAAATAAACGAGAATTTTTTTCACAGAGAGATCCAAAAAAATTATAATGAGATACAATAAAGAAAATAGCAAAGAAGACAATTGTCATTATATTTTTTCATAGCTTACTTATTTCTTTTTTCATTTTCTTATTCTTTTTCGACGTTTTTATCTACAAAAGGTGTCGTTTATTAGAAAGCGTGATTTACATATTTTAACGACTGGAACATCAACATATACAAGTGACCAGCGATTTCAAGTAAGCTACATTATATTTCTTTATTCTATTTTATATTCACTAAAACAAGTAAATTTTTTGACTAGGTTTTAAGATCATTTGATGCAAATAATTGGACTCTTCAAATAAAATATCCAACTTTTCGTGATTCTGGAAATTATGAATGTCAAATAAATACTGAACCAAAAATATCTTTATCATACTCACTAAATGTTGTAGGTTAGTATAATAAAATTCAATTCAATAATCTCCTCAAAATTGAAAATTAAATTGGAAAATATCTGAAAAGCATTCTAGACATTGACGTCTTTTTTTGAAAAATTGTAGTATGAAAATTAAAATAAGCGCAGGTATAATTGGAAAAGTCAATAGAACACAAAAGTTCCATAAATCTAACCAGCAAAAAATCAAATAAGCACTCGTTATCCTCGATATATATTTCGTTTATATAAAAATTTAATATCAATTTGCGGATCCAGTCATCTATAAAACCTTTTTTCCTACAATCGTTATTGCTACTAAAAAGGATTTTCATCCTCCTGGCACATTTGATATTGATTTTATGAATTGAGGAAATAAAAGACTGATCTCTCAACTTTCAACTGTTTTAAATTTTATATTATTAACAAAACATGAAGATACTCTCGTCTTCTTAACAATATCTGATTTAAAATAATCTTACTTATACGTTCCTAAGCAATCTATTTTTTTTATTTAAGTACGTGATTCTATAGCCTCTTCGAAAAGAAGAAAAAAGCCAAGAAAATATTTTATACTTTTTGTTTTGCTTTTCTACTTTTTGGTGTTGAATCCCATAGAGTAAATACAGATGGCATATCGCATAGGACATACCTAATTTAATCTTGTGATTTTCTAACATTGACAAAATTAGAGGTCCATAGAGTATAATATCTTTAAAAAAAAAGCTACCATCAAAAATTCTTAAATTTATTATATTTCAATAGAAAAATCAGCACAGATGCTTATTTATTCCAAAATGGTTTGTGAATGCTTTTGTCGATACTTTAAAAAAATGTAACGAGGGAACATTGAGGAGCTAGATGAAAATTGAGATATAAATTGGAAATTCATAAGCTTAAGAAAACAAAATTTTATGTTTACACTTATCTGATTAATATCGCGATAATCAATGCCGAGCATGAAACTTGTAGTTCATGAGAAATTTACATAACATCAAAATATTTACCCAAATATAATGTTACAAAAATTTCCTCAATAGTGAGAATGAAATTTTTCAAGTACATCTTCATGCTACTCATATGGACAATATAAGAATGAGGTCAATTTATTGTGAATTTTCCCAAGAGCTTTATGTTGCAGAGAATTGAAAGAATACAAAAAAATATTCACAAATTGAGATTGTGAATTTTCTTTTTCCTTTTTTGTGTTCCTCAACATTTTCTTTCCCTGATATCAATAAAGGAAAAGTTTTTCTTGCTCTTTTACCCTTTTGGAAAATATTTCAATTATATTTTTATACTCTTCTTGTTTTAATTTTATTCTTTTTATTGAGTGTTGCTTCTTAATTTGGTTCAATAAAAAACAGTGTTTCTCAAACTATACTCTGCGATACAAAAGTATATGATATATTGTCGAAACCATCGAATTACTGACGTTAGTCGACCAAAAAGTAAAACATGATTATTCTTTCATTTTAAAAATAAACCTGTGAATTGCTAATTGAATCAACGAAAAAATCACAGCATTTTTAAGTACTTATTAACAGTGCAATTTCTATTTAAATACTAGCATGCTGTCTTTTCACAAAATTCTTTCCTCAGAATTTTCCATAAATACCGATACACATACATACATATTTCTTTCATTATGTTATAAATTTCTATGCTGAATAAATACTCTTCCTGAAATAAATGCTTCCTGACAATTTTTATTTCACATAAATCCTGAAGTAAGCTTATCATTATCGTCATTATGCTTTCTACATAAATTATATACATAGCAAAATACACCGACACTGACAAAGTTCAACATTAAGAAATCATCCGAAGACGAAATATTGCCTTCAACATGAAATGAAAATAGCAAGGAATCAAGATTAATGTCATAGCGGAGTTTTTCCCTAACATTATAATTTCTTGCTGGTACTTTTATATTATATCATCATCTTTTTTATATGATGGCATTTTACACTTTTCTTTCTATGGCAAAAGGAAAGAAGAAAGCAATTCTCTTTTTTCTATAGCAATAAAAAGCATAAGCAAAGCATTCCAATGTGCTAGCAATATAAATTAAAGGGACGAAATTCATTCGTTGACACATAAAAAGGCAGTAGAACAAAAAACTGTCGTGCTTTATTTTTGTCAAGAATGCATTTTAGAGTCAGTGAATTGGAAAATTTATTCAATGCTCAGCAAAAGATTTTTTCGTGATATTTTCCATTTTTTTCTTTGGGTTGTTTCATCTGGTCCATGAGATTGAATCTAATTTTTTTTTTGCTTTCATTCCGTTTCATGCATGGATGTAAAACAACTAATCTTCTAATTTCATCTTTAAACAATGCTTATAAAAAATATAACCGCTGTGTAACAGAGCTAAAAGCTGTAATACATGGACCATCGGATTTATATGTGAAATCGGGTAGCGAAATCACACTAAATTGCAAACTACAACAAGGCCCACATGATTTAGGTACAATATATTGGTATAAAGGTGAGTAAAAATTTATTCTCTCATCCAGCAGCATCATATGGCAGCATTTATTAAATTTAATTGGAATGTTATCAGTTCATGTTAATTTAAATCAACACAAATTAAATTTGAGAAAAAGCAATTTTCCAGAAAATTAGTTTGATATCATAATATCATTAGCAATGATCTAAGTCATGCCATAATGTTAATTACTTTCTTGTCATAGATGCTAATTACTATAGCAGTCAATCTTATTTTTCATTTTTTGTATGCTTTTTCGTAATAGCACAAAATTATGCACAGTATTTTAACTTTCTTTCCTTCATCTTTTTTACATAATACAGGAAGTGATATCATCCAGACAGTCATGATACATGAGAACGATATTAATTCAGATGACTTAAACAGAATCAGTGTTGACGTTGATCAAACGGATGGATTGAAATCAAGGTAATATTTAAAACATAAAAAATAACAGCTTTGTAAATATTAGTAGTGCATCTAAAATGTACAAATTCAACATTTTTAGCTTAAGGATTCAGCGAGCAGCTCAAACAGACAGCGGAAATTATTCATGTAAAATTTCAAGACCAAATTTAATTTTATTATTGTTGATTTATATTATTCTTCATTATAGGTGTGCCAACAATAGCAAAATCAGCTAGTGTTTTTGTCAATGTTATAAGTGGTAAGGATATAAGAAAATCTTGTTAAGATTTCCCTTATCATAAATTAAAAATTTTCGCCATTAACAAAAATAGCAATATTTTTTTATTAACTGAACCTTAAAATGCTTATATTTTCTTTTTCTGCTTCATTTCATTGCAGGCGAGCATCCTGCAGCGATGCAGCATAATATTGCGTCGTATATTTCGCCCATAAGCTCCATATTTATAATGTTCTCTTTATTTTTACTCACATTCGTTTTACACCACCAGCAGCATAGTTTATGCAATGTTAAAGTTTTTAATTTAATTAGGTGAAATTAAAACGACGAGATAATTAAGGGTGCTTTTTACTATTAAATTTACTTGGAACTATAATATATAATAAATGAATAGGAAACGATCTTCGTCAACCTAAAATAGTCTCACTTAATTTATGTCAAGAGCAATAGAAAAATAGAACAAGTTTAATTTTCTCTTTGTCAATTGCAAGCAACAAAATCAGAAAAAGATAATAAAAAAAATTATAAGTAAAATACAGATTTAACAGCTGCGACAAAATGAGCAACAATTTTCAAATCATTTAACACAATCACTGAATCAAAAGTTTTTTAATTAACTGCATCGAGGCACTGATTTTTGTATCAACACAGATTGGTTTGCAATTATTGCAACTTTTCTTATTCTTCATTCCAAAACGAATATTTGAATTGTTAATTTTGCAGCTGAAACAAAAAGTTTTTGAATTTATAAAGCTCCGACAAGAGAAATAATTAAGAGATTTAATTATAATCCACATAAAGTTGTAAGTAAATTAGTTAAGGAAATTTAAAATTAAGGTCAATAAAATATTAGGGGTTGGAAACTTCTACTTATTTCCTTCTACTTATTATGCATCAAAAACACTTTTTGGTACTTTAAGTTGCAATCTACACAATTTAGATTCCTGAATATTAGAAATGAACAACAATAAAAGAATATAAGAACAAAATGGAACAATTATAGACCTAAGTTTCTAACCCTAAATTATAAATTTTAATGCATGAAAAAAATGCATGCAAATTCAAAAAGAACTGAAGACATTATTTTTTTTTTTGTAAATGAATCACTTCTCTGTTGTATCAAATGTAAATATTTAATTGTCATTTATAAAATTTGCATAAATCCGTATGCATAAAATTGACAATCCCGAGAGACACAATATTTCTAAAGCCATCCAATACAATAGAACATCATGGTGTGTCAGTACAGGATTTAAATAACTTTAATTCACAGACGGATGTTTTACTGTATAAATATTGAATCTTATTTTTCTTTCTCAAAATTTCATGCGAGACACTTTTCAAAGAACTCAAAAACAATTTTTAAGCATAACAAAGTGCATGTATAATAGAAATTAAAGAAATTTTATTAAAGATAGTTTTTCATCTTTAAAATATTTATTTTCAACATTTAATCACTAAATTCATTAAATCTGCAAATCTTCACTAATTAATGAAAAATCATTTCGTACCATTTAGACTGAAATAGAGAAATAGTAAATTTTTATAACCGTGAGTCATTTTAATTAATTCCGTCAATTTATGTTGATTATAAGAAGCCAAGCTGTAATATTTCTATTTTCACTAGCACTCCGTTTTGAATCTGCAATCTTCTGAATCTTTACTTAAACGGAAACAATGTATTAAAGTCTATAATTGCAATATTTTTTCATTAGAAATGTTTTTGTGATAAAACTCATCTCAAATTACAATAATCTGAGTAGATTTTAGTCTGAGATTATTGATCGGGTTGTTAATAATGAAGTAGTCTTGATATGAAGATGTAAGTTATGCGCAAATTGAATACTTTATCATAATAAATTTAATGAAGCAATATGGGAATGGGAAAACACTTTTTGCTTTATCGGTTCATTATGTAACGAATGATATGTTAATATATGCAGAAATTAAATTTCAAAACGGTGTACTAAACATTTCTCAAAGTCAAATCATGACTTTAACTATAAGAATTTTCAAATGTACTATTTTTGCAATATTGGTGAAAAAAAAGATAGAATTATTAAAATTTCTGTTTTACCTATATTATTTAAATTTGATATTGATCTTTAAAAAATTATAATTATTGAAAAAAGAAAAATTTGAAAAGGGAAAAAAAATTTATTTCATCACTATGTTAAGCCTTCCTTGTACAAAATGTCTTAGATTAAATGTTTGTTATATATTATAATTAAATTTTATTTATCTGTTGAATAAGTGAGAATTCCAGATATAAATTAAATACAAATTTATTACCTAAAATCTGAAACATTTTCATGTAAATAAAACAAGAAGAAATAAAAGAAATTAAAGTGGGTATGAAAAACATTTTATTTTTATTGAAAAATTTCCCATAAATTCCATAAATTAGATTTAAATTATTATTATTGAAAAATTGCTCGTTTCATATTCACACAAAATTTTTTCAGTTTCATATTGTTTATTTATATTTTTTATTCATCGTTCTCTTTTATTTATTTATTCTTCGTTGCATTGTGAAAGCAAATAATTTCGCTTTTGGTCAACGTAGATTTCACGATAATATGCAATAAAAAATAAATAGAAAAAAAATTGTTGAATAAATATTTTTCTGTGTTGCTTTTATAAACTTATTTCAAATAGGTAACTTATATAACTTGAATGGAAAACCTTATAGCATTTTCAGCATTATCTGAAGCATATTTTTGTGGATTTAAATATAATATATATTTTAATAAAAAAATAGGGGGATCTTGGTAATGATGGTAAGTCTGAAAATTTAAATTTTTCTTTTTATAACATTCACTACTGAAAAAATTCATGCAGTTTTTCTTCTGTTTTTTTGGTTTTGAACTGAACCAAAATGACATTTTTAGAACAAAAGAGAAACGAAATGGTTTAATAACGTAACCACTAAAAAGTGTGTACCTAAAATTTTGCCAACATTAAATAATGTAAAAACATTTAATTAAAAATCCAAATGCATAAAATATTTTTTAATCTATTTGATTACTTACGATTTGTTTTAAGTTAAGTTAATATCAAGGATAAAACAAAAACATCTGTTCATAAAATAAATGAATTAAAAATTAAATGAAAAAAATATGTTGGGGATAAGGAATTTATTAAATCTGAATTATACAAATTCTTTGATAACAAAAAAAAAACTTTTTCATGCTATGGACAGAAATTGATGCTACAACTCTCCAACTTTATCAGTTAATTCAAGTTTCTCATAGAATACTTTCAAATAGTTCAAAACGAATGAGAAAGAAAAATCAATAATAAATAATAAAAAAAAATCTCGTTAAAACTCTACAAGCTTTTTCAATAAATATATTTTTTTTTCTACTATCAGCGTTCCAGAGAAAGGTAAGTAAATAAGTATATAGTAAAAATGCTATAAATAAAGTTAAGAATATAGCATCTTCAACTCTCCTTTCATAACTAACATAATACATTCATATATTTACGTAATAAAAATTATTATTTTTATTTGCTATGTGCACTTTATGCTTAAGGATGAAAACATTCTATAAATAATGTATGTACACATAGAAAGTACCAAAAATTATCATTTTTATGACCGTAAATGGTTGTTATGAAAAATGCTTGGATCGTTTTTTTTTCTTCGAAATATTTTTTTATCCATAGTATGCATGATGTGTGTACACATATGTGCATAATAATAACATTACACGAAAAATCTTATAATAAAAAAAGTTCCTTAACACGCATTTTCAACATCTTGTGAAAAATTTCCTTTCATGAGGAATTCGTTTTAAATAAGTTTTATTTATTGTTCTATTTGATTTCTTAATTATGAAATAATTTACACTATGGAATTATTCCATACTGAATTGTCTCACGCGAATAATTGCTTAAATTCATAAAAAATTTGAAAGAAAATGAGGAATAAGTAGAACGAACGGAAAGAACTATAAATTTTTTCATACCGTTTTACTTCTTACAGAAAAATTCTTCATTACATTTATGCACAGGTAAGCTTTTTGTTATGAAGTTTTTTTATATATGCTGATAAATTGAAATGAAAGATAAAGTTGTTCATGTTCAATTTCATTTACTTCATCCAGCTTTTAAGTATTCAAATCTTACAAGCTGCTGATCTTTTTTTTCAATACATTTTCTTTAATGGCTAAAGTAATTTATTTTTGGAATGTTCTGAGACATTTTTAACATCCCAAATCCTTAAATCATAAATTCCAAAGTCGATTTAAGAAATGAAAACATTTTCTCCTGAACGAGTCAAGTCTTCCCGTAACTTCATTTTAATAATCCCTTGGTAAAGTTTCAAAAAAGAAAAATTAGAGTATAAAGCGTTATCTGTATATAGAACATGGAAATGCACTTGAGAGATTTTCTCATGTCCTGATTTTAGTGCTCATATATTTGTCATTGCAAACGATAACATTCCAAATTATTAAGTGTATCCTTCAAGAATAAAATTGTGAATAGAGATTGCTTGTAGACAGTCAAAAGAGAAACGAAACTTTATTTTGTTTTCGTTTCTCGGCATCCTTTATTTTTTGCTTCAGTCGCATACCATCAATATATTTTTAAAAGATTGTTTTCGTTGGGACCAAAGTTTTGTGTGTACATATTTGACAATGCTGCTTTCATTTTAAAGCATTAAACGTATCTTCTCCTTTTTCCTTTCCCGGAAAAGCTCTATAGCTTTTGTAGAGTCTTTACGCAAATATTTATCTTTCTGCTTAGTATTGTTTTCATCTCTGTGTAGAAAGCATAATTGTGTTTCCTTCCTTTATGCATTTCAGCGCATTTTTTTAAGTGATAATTCATATCATCCAGACATAGCATTTAAAATATTTTAAAACAGTTGAAAAGCAGTTTTCAAATAGATTCTAAAATTTATTTTAATCCAATAGATATTTAAGTTTAAAATTTCACATAAATAAAAAATTAATGCATTGAAAATGCTCAAATGTTCAGCAGAGAAGAATGCTCTTTTTTGAAAAAACTTTAAAACCACTATTTTAGTTCATAGTTCTTGTTTGCAAATGCTAAAAGCAGGAACTTTTATAAAAAAAGTTTAATGTAGTGGTGAACAAACAAATTGTCATAAAAGTAACTGTACTGGCCGATGAAAAAAACTTTAAAGATAACAATTCATCGAGAATTATTAAGTAAGTTAAATTCAACTGGATAGCTTTTCAATAAACATAAGATACTTAAATCACATTGAAAGTAGATGAACAACTTTGATTCAATAATACCAAATTAATATTTGAAATTGATATTCCATATAAATCACAAGATCCTCAAATAACTCAAATAATTACCAAATAATGAATTTTACATTGCTTAGTTTGCATCTATTTAAAGAACAAACAAAAGATTTGTCTATGTGCTAATTGAAAATTTCTATTGTCCTTTCGAAAATTTTAAGGATCGTATAGTTATTGCATATATGACTGTATCATTGTTATTAAACATTGGTAAACTAAAACTGAATCAAATCTGATTATTTGTGAACAATTATTCATATTGAAGTGTGCAAAAGGATAGTCGAAAATTACAATTATTGAATTATTTGCAGGACTATAAAAGCTTGAGCATAGCTGATTCATAAATGAAAAACAAGGAGAAGTATTTATAAAGTTTATTATTTTCAATTGCCAGAAAATATGTTTCATAATTTTGCATTGCTCATTCAAGGAAATTTAAGATTGAAATTTATGATCATTTATTGTTACGAAATATTTCGGATTTTACATTTCATTTCATAGATACAAATAAGCATTACTAAATTCTTAATCAAATGTATTAAAATTTTTTGCATAAACAAAGTAATTCAAACTGGCAGATATTATTGTCCATATTAAATGTCATCTGCACACATAAAATCTGTTTATGTACATTCCATATTCACTCACTGCTGTTCATGATTCACATGCAGGAAAAAGAAAAGAATTTGCATAAAATCGTTTTTACCTAGTTGCGTTAAATGATTTATGGATATGCAAAAATAAAATAGGTTCAATGTTTAAAAACATTCTCGTTAAAAGCTCATTCATGGAAAAAAGGATAGGGATAGAAACTAAAATTCTGAAAAGGATTCAATTTTACTGAAAAATACCTTATTCAGCTTTTATAGCAATTCAATTTATCTTACCAGTATGAATTTTTGGAACTTTTGTTTACTGCTAGTCTAAGTATCTCCTTTCATGTTGATTTATCAAAATATAACTTTCCCTTTGACTTATTATAACAACAAGATACCTACTTGAGCGAAAGATGAAATCTTGATATGTTTTGATCCTGAATATGAACGAGAATGCAAAAGGGCCATTCACTTATGACGTCCAGGGGGAGGGGGGTTGTAAGACAGAAAAGAACAATAGAAATTCCTGGAAATCCATTGTTTGTTTTTGAAAAATGACCGTTAATTTCGGACGTCATAATTGAACGGCCCCAAAATCAATTTCTCTAGAAATTTAATTACGTCATAGGTTTATGATTTATAGTGATAATAAACTGGTAATTGCTCAAAATATTCATTTATTATGATAGCACAAAATAGAATGAATATACTTTATGTATGCAGATATTTGAAATTAATTTTCATTTCGTTCCTTGACATATCTTGAAGATATATATTCCGAGCTCTTTAAAGGTATTAAAGAATCAATTGAAAATTTATTTATAAGATCAGCGAAGTGTAACAATTTTAATTGAATTTCAACATAATCACATCTCGATAAAATATTTGTATAACTTTTTTATTTGCGTATATATCCGAGCGTGACATTGAATAATAGATTCTCACGATGGTGATGATGATGATATGTCAAAACAGGAAGTCAATCCAAAGTATGTATTGATTGATGATACGATTTTATCGCTATAGAAGTATGATGTGTTATTTACGGAAACAAGGCGGTGTAACGGATACACTAAAGTTGTATGTCGATAGCCAATGATGTAATATTATTTATGATTGATAGAAATTACTACATTGATGGCATTTATTGTGGTTTATCTATTTCGAAATACTTTATTTCCTGAAAGTGTTAAAACCTCAAAAAAGTGTAGGATCTGATAATCTTTTGCTTTTTGCAAGCATAATTTTAAAAATTTAGAGAAAAATTAAATATGATTTGAGATAGATTTATTTTAAAATGCTTCATACTTAGAAGTTAAAATCAGAGCTCGAAGTCGACCCGACATTTTCATCGATATTGTATGGCGGAGTCAACTCCGAGTTCGAGCTCTGGTTAAAATTATTGCGTATCAAATTTGAAAGAATTTTGATTTTAGAGAAAAAAAAGGTTAAGTTTAAGTTAAAAACAATCAAACCCAAAAAAACCTAAAACTTTGGAGAGTAATAAAATAATTTAATGTGTTATTTTCCACTTTTTTATGTGTTATAAAAACTATTTAAGCATTTTCAAAAAAATATCATAAACTGTTATTACTGATTATATTTCAATATCAAAATATTAATTACAAAAATGTCAACCACAAAATGTAATCATGGAATGAAATTTAATAATTAATAATGTTTTAAATATTTGCGTGAATCAGTGTGAATATAGTGGTATATAGCCAATATTCTCTAACATTTATCTGCTCTACTCTCGTGTAATTATCGAATTATTGAAAAATAAAATATTCTCTTTGTTAACGAATTCACATGTGCAAACATGTTATTGATAATGGATATATCGGATATATCAATTAAAATCAAAAGCTTGAAATCGTATCTGAGTCATTTGCTTAGGTGCAAAACAGGCAGTATTATGTTTTTACTTTCTATCTAGTTTTATGTTTAATATAATAAAAGATTTAATTTCATCTTAATGCAAGCACAACATACAATTCATTAATTTTTAATGCTAAGGAGAAATCCTGCCTCTATCCTCCCATAAAATAGTGATATTGACATGCTCGTTTCTGTCAAATGTCGTATGCATTTGGTAGGAAGAAGTCAAGCACATCTCTCATACAATATTCATTTCCTATCTGGAGCATCCAGAGTTCAAAAATATTCAATTGTAGGCACTATGAACAAATTTGTTATGTTGTCATAAACAGATTTTTTTTTTTTTTGGAAAAAGCTTTTATAATTTATATTAAATTGTTTCTACTATTTTGGTGCTTTTTTGATGAAATTTAAATATAATCGTCTACATAGCTATAATCTAAAAGTTTGGATATCGATCTTGTGATGTTTTTAAGACAAAAAGAAGATTATAAAAATTCGTGTGGACAAGTTTTTTATTATTGTTAGATATTCAGCTATTGTTCTCCAATTACATTTTTTGAATTGTCAAAGTTGATAATATTTGTTCGGCAATGTTCAAATAAATGGGAAAATATTCGAGCCAATTTAAAATTGATGGAAAAATAAATAACAACAATCAAAAATTTATGAGAATTTTCGGTCTCGCAATAATCGCATTTGATTGATATGATTATGTATGCACTGATGCCTAGCGTATTATGTCACAAATAGCTAGAAAATGAGAGCTTTTTGAATACAAAATCATAACAATTTATTCAAATTATATGGGAATTTGACTTTTCAATAATTCATTTCAACTGGACATAAACAATTCACAACTAACCATTAAAAAATGAATATCCACATGTGCATCCATGTGAGGTATAAGTGATATCCAATTGCGAATCGCCCTGATTATGATTAATAATTGTTAATTTTATGCTGTGCGTAACTCAAACATTTACAATTCACCGAAATAATAAAACAAAATGTGAAAAATCCATGAGTCCATAAGTATGTATATCATTTAAACACATGTTTTTTCACGGTGCAAATAATATTAACACAATCACTTACCCCCATACCTAAATAATTTTTTTGTTTGTGCTACTTCAAGCCAATTATGGTGCTTGAAAATGAGAATTTCGAAACATATCCTTTATCATGTACCATATATCGCAATAAATGTATTTTATATGAGAATCTGTGAAAAAAAGTTATAAAAATATTTTATTTTATTTTGTGTACATTGATCAATGTTTATTAGCAGCTTTACGCTCACTGGGCTATAAAAATGTGTATAAAATGTTCACATTTGCCATATTTTGCTCTTTTGATATTAAAAAACATTTCATAAATGCATGAGAAAAGGAAGAAAAAAAATGTTGTACGGATTTGTGTGTGAGTATGTATGGAGTATAAATTTTGGAAAGATTTTTTAAGAGTTTAAACTTTTTTTATCTCTTCTCCTCCCACATCATATGTGATGGGAGCCATTTGTTGTTGTTATTATTGTCATACATGCTAGGATTTTTAATAATAAGAGAAAATGTTTATGTGATGAGTGCTTTTGGATTCTCTGCCTCTTTTCAGCAGTACTAAAAAATAAAAATTTTCAACATAAAATCATAGAATGATACTTTTCTGTTTAATACCACTTGAAATCTGCTACTTCTGTTGCTATTAATGTTGCGTTGCTATGTTATGGCTGGTTATGTTTGCTGCATTATCAGAATATTAATTAGACAACACAGAATCATATTTTCAATTATGCAGTGTGCGAACTCGGGGATCTTATTTTAATATTATTATTATTGCATGTATTCATAAATGAGGAAGCGTGAGTGTAAATTTTGCGGTTAGTTATTATGCAGCGCTAATTGCATTGGGAATTTCATTATAATTCTATTAATTTAAATTAATTTTAAATCTGCCAGTTGCATTTAAATGCAAATTTCTTTATGTAATGTGCCTCCAATTAGAGAACACTCAATATGGTCCCATTTTAAAATTAATTAAAAGCCACATTTCTGAGTCAATTGATTTGTTAGTAACTTCAGCTCATAGATGAAAATTCCAAAAATTTCATATTCGTTGATAGAATTTGAAGAATAAATTTACATTCATAATCATTAATTTAACAGCATTTTAGTCACATCATCGAGACTTTAGTTTAAAATAATAGTAAGTTTGATGTATTAGTAAGTTTAAAATTTTGCATGTAGATCGTACAAATACATACAAAAATATTGAACAGGTATTTGTGAGTATCATGTGATTTACATAAATAACCGGCAAACGTCTACCAAAATATACTTATGTGTGTTATCAAAAAAAAAAACTTTTTTTCGTTCACTCGACAGAACATTTACTTTTTTTCAGTCTTCTTTTGTGTGTGAAGTAATAAGCGTGCGTGGATACAAGCTAATACTTCATTTAGACGATCGTGGCCTTGAACGAGGAACTTGATTTAAAATTTTAATATAATTACCTATTCAATTGCAACAAAATGGCATTTCGTATTGTAAAATTATCACCAATAATGGCTCGTATGATGTCGACAAATGCTACCAAAGTTGGGTTTATTGGTTTAGGACAGATGGGAAATCGAATGGCCACAAATCTAATGAATAAGGTATTATAAAAATTGAATTTTTAAACAACTAATGTGTTATTTATATTAAATATTATTGATATACAGTTTTATCATTAAACACTTAAATTAAATGAAACTTTTCTTCTATCTAAAACCTGTCATATGTTTACATGTTAGATAATAAAAATCACACCATAAATTTATTTTTTAAAAAAATAATTTTTCTACTTTAATATTAATAATGAGATTTATGGTTCTGTTACAAACTTAATTAAAATCTTCCACGTAATAATGCATATTTATTGTTACTTTTAAGGGCTACAAATTGAATGTTTATGATATCTCAGCCGAGGCATGTGATGCAATGAAAGCAAAAGGTGCTGAAGTATATAAAACTACACAAGAGTTGGCTAAAAATTCAGAATTTGTCGTCACAATGTTACCTAATAATGATATAGTAAAAAATACTTATGAAGATATGATTAAAGATGGTGTCAACAAAAATACAATGTTTGTCGACTCATCGACGGTTGATCCAACCGTTTCACAGTATGTACAAAAAATTGTAAAATCTGCTGGCGCCAGTTTTGTTGATGCTCCCGTAAGCGGTGGCGTAATGGGGGCACAAAATGCGACCTTGACTTTTATGGTTGGTAGTACACCAGAAGAGTTTGAAAAAGTCAAGGACTTTTTAGGTGGAATGGGAAAAAAAATTACACATTGCGGTACATACGGGATGGGAGAAGCTGCGAAAATTTGTAACAACATGATGCTTGCTATTAGCATGATTGGCACAGCCGAGACAATGAATTTAGCAATACGATTAGGATTAGATCCAAAAGTATTTAATGAGATCATTAATGTTTCTACTGGACGTACATGGGCTTCAGAAGTTAATAATCCAGTCCCCGGTTTATCTCCAGGAACTCCTCCAAGCAATGACTACAAGGGAGGCTTCTCAACAGCCCTCATTACAAAAGATTTGGGATTAGCTGCTAGTGTTGGTAAATAACAAAATATCCTTAACTTAAAGATTTATTTTATTTTTATAATATCTTATTTTTAAATTGTTCACAGCAACCGGCTCAAACTCTCCAATTTTACTTGGTGGTCTTGCTCACAGTGTCTATCGTTTATTGTGTACTCACGACTTAGGCAACAAGGATTTCTCAGTTGTCTATGACTTCATCAAAAATAAGACGGAAAAGAAATAAACGAAATGGTATAAAACTTTTAAAACAAATATACTTGAGAAGATATTAATGTTCTTCAAAAACATGTGCATTTATTACTTTATAAAATACATTAAAATTTTTAATTTTGAATGTTTGCCTTTTTAAAACCAATAAAATGTTTATTCTTTTTTAAAACATTTTTCTATCTCTTTTTGATTTAAAATTGCATATATTAGGTTTTTGGTCATATTTTTATAATTCTTATCTTTTTATTGATTTGTCTATTATGTTTTAATGGAACAGAGTTTAAAAGTAACACTTTTTTTTTTATTAAAATATAAGTCGAAATTAATTGTCTTTTCCGTTATCTATTGTTAATGACTTGGAATTGATTAAATGGAAAATTAATGATTATGAAAAGATTTAGAATCTTCAATCTCTTTTTTCGATTATCAATACCCTTCTCGTCCCTTTATGTTTCATTTAATCATTATTTGCTCTTGTATGATTGTCTTAAAGTGCAAACATTAATTTTTAGGCCATTATCATTCTTGAATAGGATGAGGCAATTTCATTTGTCGGCATTCAGGATTGATTTTTTTTATCGTCTTTCCGTCTCCATTGAATGAATAAAACATTAAAACTCGCTAGCTCGTTTTCGCCTTTTCCTAAAATTTTTATTTTATGCTAACTGAGCTGACTTTCTACATCTCGAAAGTAATAAGATGCCATCATAAAATAAATCGCATCCCTCTCTGTTGCTTGCTCTAGAGGCAATTCCCATTGTTGTATTATTTTTGCCATTTCTTTTGTTATATTTCAGTTTGCCAAAAAAAAGTACCTATATACACACAATAGAGTGGAAGTCCTAAAACAAATCATTTGATTTGATTTCACAAAGTCGTGAATTACGTGAGTCCTCTTCTTTTATGTTCTGTCTTTTCTCGATCCTCATGTCTCCTTTCATGAGCCAAAACAAAACTATATTAAGTTTGATAATATAAAAAGTGCTGAAATAAAAATGAGTAATAGTGTGATAGTGCTTTATTGCCATTGTCATGAAAAGAAAAATTTCTTTCTTTTATTATTTTCCTTTTTATATTGAGTGAAAAGAAAACTTTTATTCTAACCGCACTTAGTATTTCTCTGGTTTGGTTTCATCATTTCTTTATTTCTTTTTTTAAGAAATAAATTTATTTTGTAGAAACAAATTTGTTATGCGAAAAAGCATTTTAAAAGATTTCTAGCACAAAAAACTCATATTTCTATTTGCTATTTTTATTAATAATGATAAAAATATTTTTAAAAGCTGACTTCTGTCACCTATTTTCAAACTTAAGAAATCTTAACTTAATTGATACATTCGAGTGTATGTAATGCCAAATGGTTAAACTTTATAACTTATTGTTGACTTGAGAAATAGGTAAGTATTGAAAATAACTGATCTGTTTCCAGTTGAAACTTTTTATTACAACAAATCAATTTTTAATTTAAAAGAGAATTAACTTTAATAGCTTTTACCACAGAAAAATGACAAATTTTATTACTTTTTCTTTTTAGAAAATAGCAATGCTTTATATAAAAATTGTTATTTACTGGTTGATTGAGCTTTTATATTCACATCTTTACAGAATTAATTGAATTTGAAAATTTTTCATTTTTATTGTGTATATAGTAATACAGTTTAAAATCAAAAAAGCTCAAATTTGTTCATTATCTTTTAACTGATTAATTTTTCCATTTATAAAAAATTATCAAAACATGGTGTACATATGGTTAAATCAGCTCCCAGCCTTTTTTTACAAGGTTGTATAACTGTTGCCATATAAATGTCGACCCTTGGGACATGAAACAATTTTCTCTTTGTAATGCACTTTTATACAAGCAGTTTCCAACATATATATATTGAATCAAAGAATAATCACCACGCTCTTCATACAATTTACGTTCCTCTGAACCATTAACATAACGATCTCAATTGTTGATTGTGAGTATCATAAAAGAAAATGAAATGTATAGCAAAAGTAAATGGAAAAGTAAAAAAAATATTAATTTTAGCTCTTTCTTGAAATTTACGATCCAATTTTTTCTGTGACATTTTTATTATACTAGCCGTGAAATAATTTTTTCTCCTTCTTTTGCGTGGTTTTTTACGATTATGATTTCCCTTTTCGGTTGGTTGATGAAACTAATATCATAACGGGAATGGAAAAGCTGTAAAATTGCACACAGAGTCTTGCCATGTCATTTATTTTCTCCTAGTTCGTGGCATTGTGGCCTGCAAAACTTTCATAATTTTTCTCTTTTTTCTTTTTAATTTTTCATGCTCTCCTTCGTTTTAACATTTTATTTATTTTTGATGAATGACTCGCGAATAATGTATAAAACACACACAAAAAAAAAACAGAAAGTTTTTAGGAAAATTAATTTTTCTTCTTCGTTATTTTTAGCATCTTAGATTATCTCAAAAGTGATACTTTAGTGAAATGATTTGAAATTGAAATTGGAAAAAAGAAAGATAGAGAATTGAAAATGGGTCATTGATTTTTATTGAATCAACTGTGAAAAAAGTGTGCTGTAAACGCTGTGAACCATGTCTGCATTCGAAAACGTAAAGTCAAAATTACAAAGAGATGAAAATAAAATTTGAGTGAAATTCAGCAAATTGACAATTGGGAAAAATTTTAAATTAATTTTGAAATGATAAAAAAGTTGAGAGATTTTAAAACTCCATTCAAATAACATTTTGATTGGTGCAAATTTTTACCGTCCTCAAAAAATCATTTTCTAGAGTAAATTCTGTTAACATTTTTGCCTAAAATCCTTTGAATGAAAAGTGAGAGTATAAAAAGGTTAATGTAAAAGTGACCGTAAAGTTATAAAGTAACTTTTTCATATAGAATAAGTTAATAGAATGCAGCAAAAACTTCAAGTTTTTGTCATAAAAGTTTATAAGCAATCAAATGTCACCTTACCTGAGCATTTTCTCACTCGAAAAAATAAGCAGGAAGATAAACTTTATGAGCTGCACGAACGACGTGGACGTGAAGATTCAAAATACAATATATAGTAAATAATCAAAATAAGATTTATTTTCCAGCATTTTAAAGTGCCAATAAAAATTTTATCACAATTATAAAACAGCAATGCTCAAAATTCAATTGAATAAATTAATTTCATTTCATCATTTTCTTTTTTTTCGAAGGACTCAATTGAATTTTTGGAAGTGAAAAAAATGCCCATAAATTAATTATCTTTATGCTTTTTTTCCATCTTCTTTATTTTTGTAAAAAGAGAACTAAGCGCCATAAAACGATTTGCACTGTAATAAATAATTTGTTGAAGATGCCGCAATATCATGGACTGTCTTATCCACAGTTGGTATTTTAGGCTGCGTGAATAACTACTTTTCATTAATTAAAAGCTTTAGGAGTTCATTTTCATTTCGGTTTCTTTCTCAACACGAAAAGTAATTTTCCTTTTTCTCATTTTCATGCCTGATTTTTTTTCTGTTGCTTTTACATTTCATTAAACCTTATTTTCGTCTACCACAATTCAAATGGAATAAAAATGTAAATTACAATGATGAATTCACAAGTTTCAAATCCTTTATAATGGATGGTGAGAAGACAAATGGAAAAATACAATAAAACAATAAGGAAGACAAAGGAAAAGAATTGACATAGATATCACACTCAATTTAATTTAGTTTTGATTATAAATCTGTGCCGAGTTTGTGAATAATTATCATGAAGAAATTTTTCAGGACACGCCTTTGAGATTTTCTCATGACATTATACGAGAGAAAGAAAAAAACAAAACACCAAGACAAAAACGAAATAAACCAATTTTCAGAAGCGATAGCAATTAGACATTTCTTAATGTCTTAAGGTTCTTAACAAATATTAGCTCTTCTTTCATGTTTAATTTTGTTATACTTATATCGAAGACATTTTTTTTGATTGAGCAGTAGAACGAGAATTAAACAAGAAAAGGAAAAATTCATTTAATTAAATAAAGACATCATTTAAAAAGAAGAAGCAAATAATACGAGATGAAATAAAATATAATGAAACTTATTAAGATTATGCAAAGTATTTTAATTTTAAGATTTTAGAATAACATATTGCTTTTAAAAGTTATTATCTCAATTTTACTATGTACTTCTTAATTTGGAAATTAGTTTTAATTTGAATGGAACTAATTTTAATCAATGACGATTTATGAAGTAATAAGTAAACAAGGAAGAATTACTTTTAATTAATTAAAATAAATTCACGATTTTAATAAATATTAATTGAAAAAAAAACTATTTGAATTATTTCTAAAGCAAACAACAAATATTAGACTCTTTAATATATCAAAATAAATCGCAAATATGATTTAATAAAGGCTGGAAAGGGCATATTAAAGGTAATGATGAATAGGAAATTGTTACATATTTATCATGTATACATGAACTCGTATACTTTATTACAACGATTTATCAAATTATACGTTATAATAATCTTCCTAGAAAATATAATATCAAGTATGGCTTTCTCTTCAAATACCTACCTCCCTAATATGTATTTTTTCTTCTTTACTTTCTTAAATTTATGAATATTCTTTTATGCTTTATATGTATGGAATGTTGCCAGGGAGTTTAAAAATTTAATACTTTTTTCAACAGAATAATAACTTTAAATCACTTTTTTAGATTATAATTTAATTACACGTATGATTCTCAACTTTAGTTGATTTCTCGTGATTTCAATAAAATGTAATAAATATTTTAAAAATTCATCAATATTCAAATAACCTTCTCTTCAATCTTACACTTTTCACTTTACGCCTCTCTTATAATATAGTTTTTTCTTGTAGAAAACATATAAAACCCATTCTTCTCGAGCAGCTTCTTAAGCACGTAATCCATATTGATTTAATATCTAGTAAAAACTGTGTTTTATTTTTTATTGTTTTAAAGCAAAACGCGATTTTGTCGATTGTTTGTAATGGTTTTCAGTAATTTAAATTAGATTGCTTTTATTCCTGTTAAGTGAAGCAAGAAAGAAAAAAATTGTGTGCTTAAAAATTTCACTTGACTGATTACATACAATTTGCAGATCATTACTTATGAACAATGTATTATTTGGCATCACGAAACAATTTTTAAGCAATCATTTAAAGAATGACAGGCAACAAATTTTATGATTCATT